TCACACATCCAAGTTTTCAGTAATGATCTGGCAGGAGGAGAAACCACAGCAGTGATGGTGAGTGGAGAATCACACTGGTACCTCAGAGTGGCATTGCCACAGGGGATTGACTCATGCTGGAGCACTGCTTTCTCACCATTGTCAGGTAGCAGAGCTGGCTCAGAGCAATGCTCTTGTCCTGCTCATACTTTAGTTCATTCCAGCAGTCATCAGGATCTTGTGCAGCTGCTTGGCAGAGATTGAAATCCCATGATTGCTAGTCTTGGGAAAATTCTCAAATTATGTGTTAGAAATATATTAAAGACAGCATTGCACCCATAAGTGGATTATTTCTTGGAAACAGGTCAAACTGTGTGTTAGAAACCAAGAAACAGAAGTTTCTGAAGACAAAAATCACAAAATGGAACTTTCATTGCTTCTTTCTGAAAGGTTTTCTGCTTTCATTTTTACAGAATAGGTGTCTGTAGCCAAGCCTGTGGTGTGATTCACCTTGCTGTTCCCACTGGAAACAGCTCAGGCAGGACCTGTTTTCAAATTGGTTCTTTAGACCTCTGAGGTGCTTTGTGCCCTGTTAGCGATGAAGTACCCAATCACCTAAAACCTCCATTTTTAGAATAAGACTTCCCTGTACAAATGTCCTCTTCTCATAATACTTTTTCCCAGCAGGGGACTTCCCCTCAGATTTAAGCCTAAATAGAAATTAAGAAGTCTTGCTGTCTTTGGCAGACTGAGCTCAATTAAAAAAAAAAAAAAAAAAAAAAAAAAAACACAAAAAAAGAAATATTTTACATGTTTGCATTGCGAATCTGCATTGCACTGCACTCGTTGCACTTGTTGCAGTGGGTTGGCTGCATGCTTCTGGTTGCTGCACCTTTCCAGCTCCTGCAAGGTTATTGCTTAAGCAGGTGCAGTGTGCCTCACTCTGAGGTTTCTGATTGAGGAAAAAACTGGTTTGCCTGTGCAAGCTGCTGGCAAAGAGATACGTGGTAGCAGAGGTGTTCACTGCCCTTCTGCCCAGTCAGAGCTCCCTGTGTGGTGAGAAGGCTGAAACTGCACACAGCTGATCTGCTGCCCTGCAGGGAAAGCCATCACAGCAGTGGCACTCTTGGCTTGTGCTGAATCCTCACAGGCCAGCTGTCTGTCAAACAACTCTGTCGTCTTCATCTTAAAAACTCCGCACACGGACCTGAATAGAGGAACTTCAAGTATTTCCTTTCAGGAGCATCACCTATGACGTTTCCTCCCATAATCCGTGAGCAGGGATTCCTTCCGTAGCAGTGGCTCTTTACTTCCTGATATTCTATAGTTGTATCAACCATTCAAGCCATAAACACATCACATTCTTTTACCAAAAAATACTGCCTTAAAAATTAAGACCTTTGTATTTTGATATGTTGTTCTATGTAGCAAGTCATTTATACATATTGTATCTAACACCATTGTATCAGAGGAAGAAATTGCAGAATTAATTTGTCTTTCTTTTTGTACTCCTACATCATCCATTTCTCAATATTGTCAATATTTTACTATGCTATTGTGATTGGTGTTCACTATTTACTTGCTGTATTTCTTGCTGTATTTAGAACTTCTAATCACTTACTAGAAATTTGAACGATTTACAGGAATGATAAAGCGTGAAAAGGTGTGAAAATCAGTTTCAATTTCATTTTGTTCTGTGCATTTATTGCTGTTATTGTTAGCTGACATCCGCTCAGCTTACTGCACTCTGCCTACAAGCTAATCTATCTTGAAGAGTCAGACAGCAGTCTGTGAAGTGATTGTAAGGATCTTCAAGTGCCTTCAATGATTTTCTGTACTTGGACTGCAAAAGCATTTTGTTGTTGATAGAATAGGCACAATAAATCCCATTGTTGCAGTTCCTAGAACACTACCTATTAAAAAGGAACAATCTGGAGGGCAAAGAACATGATAAAAATTCATCACAAGTGGACTCAGGAATAGTGCTACTAGTTTTGACTGCATCACCTGGCATCACAACACCTGTGGATTTCAACCTCACACTGCAAGTCATATATGGTTAGCTCTCCTTTCTCCCTGGAGAACACAGGATTTTCTGGTTATGATGCTCTGCAAGGCAGTGCACTCTACTCTTCTGTGGTTTTTATTATTTGGTGAAAATGTATTGCACCTACAACACTGCAGCTATAGAGGCATTCACTTTTAGAGTGAAATACAGTCTTATTGGCCACCTCTTGAAGGACACTGCCTGCATCTTACCTCACTATTTCATTTTTCAGAAGACTCTGGACTAGAAATGTGCAAGCTGAGTTTTCCATTTTCAAATGTTCGAGTTATTAAAAAGTAGGAGGAGATTATATGGCTAATTCTAGCTCATTCCTACCCCAGCTGGCGTGCACCTTAGTCAGCAATCTTCCCTGCCTGCTCTCTGGTCTGGAAGTGTGCTGCCCCTGGTGCTGTGGAGGAGCTGCCAGCCGGGGGTGTGGGCAGCTGCTGCCTATGCTGAGATTTTACTGGGAGGTTTGTGTTAAACTGGGGCTGCTGTAAACTGACCCTGCCCACTTCCCCTGTCCAGTCGCTCTTCCATCCCGCTGGCAGACCCTGATCATGTTGTTTGGCCTGACATAAAGCCCTCTGGCTGCCCTAATGTAACCCATTCCCTCAGCTAATTCCCAGGTTGTTTATTATGGGCCCCATCCAACACCCGTGGAAGTAACACAACGTTCAGCTGCCTTGGCAGCTGTTGGTCCGGGCCTGTGAAACGAGGACTTTTTTGCTATTTTCAGGGCATTAGGACCTTGGATTGCTTAAAAACTGTACAGCATGTTTTGATCAGGATGAGAAGACCAAAAGAAAGTAGAAAAAATTACCTTTGAAGTCGCATCTTCCACTTTTCAAGTGTTTTGAAGATGCTTTAGAGGAAAAGATATTGTTTGGTCAACACAGTCAACGAAGCCCCTGAAATTGTCAGGAGTTGGATAGGCTCTCATGGGGCAGGTTTCTTCACCCTTCCCATCCTCCTGTCTGTGAGCAGGGAAGCCTGTTCTCCATGAACTGTGTAGGCAGTGGGTTTAGACAGGACATACAGTTACCAAACTGTGATGCTGTTTGGTTTTTGCCTTTTTCCTTTTATATGTTCCCTGTATTCTTCACACATGTATTTGTAACTCTGTGGCCTATAGTATTAGTGACAGGTTTTCCCAGTACTTTTCCATAGCCTTTCCCTGGGCAAAAAGACAGAGCAAATTCCAGAACTCCAAAGCCCCAGGGTACAAGGCCCCAGTGCTATCTTGGTTATTCCTGGGAACAAAGGCTGAGAGTACCAAGAAGAAAACTCCAAAGAAAGGGCTTGACCTGAAGGAAAATTGCATCACCACTTGTCCTCCTAATTGGTGCTTTTTATAAATTATGCTAATTTCCTGAAACCCATAAAATGTATTCACCCCTAGAGGGGTAGGTTTGTGTGGACATCTTTCCATAACTGCTCCTGAAGGCCTTCAAATAAATACCCACTCTTATATTACCTCCTTACTAAAATTATCTTGAGTTTCATTTCCAGGTTGGGAAAAAGGCAACAACTATATGCTACCAGACAGCCATCAGTGAATCCTGGAGACACAGATAGATCTAGGATGGATCCTGTATTTTACACTTGAGAAATACAACTTTTTGGTCATTCTGGTCCAAGAACATAGGAAATTAAAGAGTCAATCCTCTAGTTGTCTTGGGGAGTTCAAAGTCCTTGGGGAGAAAGGGAGCTTCTCACAAGAAAAAAATGTATTTTCAGCCTGGGGGAACCTCAGTTTCTTGTTCCCAATGCCAAACACAGGAGACAGTAGATTAGCTTCAAATGGTGGTACATTTCTCTGTAGCTGCTTCTGCGATGCATTGATCCTGTATTATTCTTCATTTTTCATTTTTAACCTTTCTTGGTTAAGAAAGGACATTTTATTGAATGCTCATGAGCCATTCCAGTCATCATTATTAGATCCATCTCTGGGCCACAGACTCCATTCTGACAACAGTGTGAGTCACATTTAAATTATTTTGCAATTCTACTTTACTTATCCATACATCATATCTTAGTTGTGACTGTCATTTGTGTGACCAATTCTCAGGCAGGTTTCTGTCAATAGAGAAGGGCTTCCCACAAATCAGTGTAATGTTAAGCTTACAGTAAAACTGATGTTGCCTTTCGGAGCCAGCACACTCAGGCTCCAAAACTTAAAACCCAATGGCATCCATCATTAGTAAATGTGCTGCACAATGTGATATGTACCAACTTGCCTCAAATGAAATATAATTAAGGTGATTTCATAGAGACTGTATCCAATAATACTTCTTAGTGGTTAATTTAAGGGAAATGAATTTCCAATTTTATTGCCTGAGTATACAACACAGTAATAGTTTGAGTGGAGGAATCCACTGTTGATAAAATCTCTTCAGATTTTATCTTAATTTTGAAGTAAAATGGGAATTGATCTATGCCAAACAAAAGAGGCAGTTTCTGTGTTGCTTTCTGGTTATAAAGACAGGTGTGGAAGGGCTTTGGAGCATACACTGCAGTTGCACTTTGATCCCATTTTGGAAGAAGACAAGGGGACACAGGCCTTTGTACCAGTCTGGCTTCCACCAGAGATACAAAAATTGCGTCTCATTAGGCCAGGTCCTCAGCACAGCTGGGTGACTGGGATGGGGGGTGTGCTGCAGCACACAGCTACTGTTAGCTGTACCTTGCAACAGCCATTGCTTACCTCGTGATTTCAAGGATGGCAATGAATTCAGTGTAATTACTGTTCTCCAAGCTGTCAAAAGACAATGTAATCAACATGTAGATTACATTTATTAATTTTTTCAGAGTATACATGTAGTTCTGGACATTGTCCAAGGTTTCAGTTGATACCCAAGAGTGAACTATCATCAAAAAACTCAGAATACAGCATACTGTTCTTCTACAGCCTCCAAGATAATCAGTATCAATAATTAATAATAATTCATATGTGTTTGTTTTTGCTCTACAGGTAATACTTTAACTCCAATATGGGAAAGCAAAACAGCAAACTACGCCCTGAAGTCATGCAAGATTTGCTAGAAAGTACAGACTTTACAGAACATGAAATCCAGGAGTGGTACAAAGGCTTCTTGAGAGACTGTCCAAGTGGACATTTATCTATGGAGGAGTTTAAAAAAATATATGGAAACTTTTTTCCTTACGGGGACGCTTCTAAGTTTGCAGAGCATGTATTCCGCACTTTCGACGCCAATGGAGACGGAACAATAGATTTCAGAGAATTCATCATAGCCTTGAGTGTGACGTCAAGAGGAAAACTGGAGCAAAAGCTGAAGTGGGCATTCAGTATGTACGACCTCGATGGGAATGGCTACATCAGTAAGTCAGAGATGCTGGAAATTGTGCAGGTAGGTGCTGCTCAGAGGCACCCCTGGGCTCACTCCTTGAGAGCAAATTATGGAGCAATGTTACACTAAATGAAAAACTGGCAGCACTGGTTTACAATGTGCTAAAACTGCTTGGATATAAAATGCTATTTCATTTGGCAAAGATTGTGTCACAATTCAAACTACAGCTTAATATCCACTGCAAGTTCTTCCTGAGCAACAGGCTGCATGGCTATTTCTTCCCTGGGAGCTCTGTTGGGCTCGAACACAGCAATTAACCTGCTGATAAATGTGATTCTCTAACCCTGTCAATTAATTATGATTAATTGCAGTTGAACCAAGCAGGTATACTAGAACAACCAGGCAGTGTACTTTTAAGGAAGGCAGGCTCCCTCCACAATAAGAAGCAAATCTTTGAAATCATGTTATTATGAAGAACCAGCTCAGCTCACATATTATGAAGGTGTTTTGTCTGCCTAATTCCAGTGAGGAGTGCATTATTAGAATCGTACTAGCTGTCTTCATACTAAGTTGGCAGTATAGATAAACCTTATCTGAGTAGATAGTTATCCCATACATCGCTTCTTTGGTTGTGTTTGCTTGTGGTGTTAGTAAGAGTTCCACGTTGCTGGCTATCTCCAACATGTTTTTGCCCTTGAGGCACATCACTCTACTGCAAGATTTAAAACATTTTTTTATTTGGCAGTGTATTTACACAGCTTGAATCTGTATCATGCAGCACCGTTAAAAAAAAAAAAAAAAAAAAAAAAAAGAAAAGCCTGTTATCAAGATCCTTTCCTTTCCCTGGAAATTTTGAAGTGCTAACAATGTACTGTATTATTCAGACTTGTATTTGCACTGAAAAGCAGGGGAAAGTAACACACACAAATTACAGGCTGTGATGGCCAGGTGCATGTAGTGAGTCAGCCTAATGGGTGGTGCTCCTGTCTTTCTACCGGGGCCCTTCGCACATCCTCCAAGCAATACCGATAACCAGCACTTGCACTGCTTCAGCAAGACCAGATCCAGAGCTCAGCTGCAGATCTAGAGTTTGTTGTCTTTCACTTGGTCTGTTTTGTGCTCCTGTGTCTGAGTTGAGGAGCAGGACCTCCCTGTCTGCGCCGTGACAAACCCCATGGAATATTTGCGTTAGAAGATCCTCTGGTCCTTACAAATCTTCCTCTCCCCCAGGCAGGGTAAACAGACTGTCAATTACTGTTTTTCTGTCTGTATTTCTCCTCATAAAAAAACAGAAAGAATCCCAAGAGAACTAACATAGACCACAGGAAACACGGGAACCAAAGCTGGGTGATAGCTGCTCCTCTGGAGGAGGAGACAGCCCAGCAGCTGCAGGACCCCTCACTGCTGTCGAGGAGCCCAGGAAGGCACCGTGCCCACAGGCAGCACAAACCCTCCGGGCAAGGAGAGCTAGAAACAGGCAGAATTTGGCCAAAACTTTGTTCATGTCAAATGAAATTAAAATATCAGTGGCTGGATTTTCTATAGTAAGCCAAACAAGGACCAGCAAAGCTGGAAGCTCTTTCCACGTTTGCTTGCCAGCAAGTCTAGAGGCTGAAATGCTCTGCCTCCTCTTCGTATTTATGTCAGTTCCAAATCATAGCATTGTCTTTTACAGCCATGATGGCATCATCAAACAAAATTGTAGCTGAGGGGTCAGTGTAGGGTGGCATTCTGTCAACACGTGCATCCAACACTGAGCAGCACTTTGGCTGGGCACAGCCCTCAGCCTGGCACTCCAGCCATCCCTCTGCACTTCGGGGAGGTTTGGCTCTCTCTCCTTTCAGGCTGAATGTGAAACTCAACTGCGTGATGCTTATAATCTCACCTCATTTTGAGGAACCCAATTTTGAGGGACCACACAAAAAACAATTATGGAAGTGAACAGCCTGAAAGCCAGTTATTTCTGTACCGTGGACTATCAGCAATTTTTAAACCATGAAAGCTGCCCTTTCTGTGATGGAGCTTCCCATGAGGCAATGTCCTTGTAGATCTCACCCTGTTCTCTTGTTTCAGGTTTTTTTTTTAATGCATTGGTCTCCTTGTATTGCACTGGTTACCAGGAGCTCCCCCCAGTGGGATGGGATTTGTTGTGTAGTCCCTGGAAACATGTTCAGCTGATATCTGAAACTGAAGTAGATGAGCGTATTTTCATGCTTTGACGAGAAGTTCCTTTGATGTAAAGTGATTAGAAACAAAAAGCCAGCAAACAACTATCACTTTAATTTATGAAAGATTATTATTTTATCATATGGAATGACAAGATTCTGTATCAAATGTCATCCTGGGGGCCCTCAGCCATCACAATTTTTCTGAGAGTGAAAATCAGAACTCTGACATACCTCTATGTCTCAAAGGAACCTAATGCAAGTCCCTTATCGAGCATACATTTGCAAATTTGTAGAGTAGGATTATGTTTTCATTGGGATTTTTGCCTGAGACAATACATCAAAATGAACTCTAAAATAAACACCTTTAGTCTAAAAGTCTTAGTTTAACAGAAAAATACTGTCCCTGTGGGATTACTGTATTTTAAATGGCATAAGGGCAACACACACATTTCTTCTTTTTCAGTCTGCTTTTTTTTGTGCTTTGAAATCCCTCACTCTGCAGTGATTTTCACTGTTATGCTGGTGCTTCTTTGCATTTTCTTTCCATTGCTCTGGCCTAATCTAACAGCACTGCAGGCAATGCAGGCATTGCACTCTTGCCCAGCATTGCATTAAGAGATTGAAGTAACAGTGGAACAGCAGCACTGGAACAGCAGAACTGCTGGTTAAGATGTCCCACAGGAGCCCTCGTGCCTGGCCAGCTGCCAGGGAGATGAAGGTGATGGTCCATAACAGCTTTCTCAGGCCTGTTTTCCTTGCTAGGTGGCACAGCACGTGCGTTCCTTTGAGCTCTGTACACCGTCATGCCCTTAACCATGCAGGCACAGCCCAGTGCACTCCCCATGCCTGCCCATGAGCATCCCTAGGCCAGTCTCCAAAAATCCCTGCTTAGAGATCCACATGGAGCCACCTGCACAGTTTGGAAGCTGAAGGTCTTTAGTGGTGGCTGACAATTGTACTACATCAAAAAAGAAAGTCCCTGGGATACTGCTACATTCACCAGGCATAGCACATCTGCACACTACTGTGGGAAGAGGCTTCACAGCCTGCCCTCTTGACAGACCTTGTCACAGCTCCTCTCAGATTCATGTCTCAGGCTTTTCATGTCCCCCATATGTTTACCTATAATCTAAATAGCCCAGTCCACTCAAAAATAGCTGCAAACCACTTAGAAGTTTTGTTCCCCTTGCTGAAGCAGGACATATTTGGCTAGTCTCTTAAAATAAGAGTTCAAATGAGAGATGGAAACCTTGCTCTAAGGATACATTTTTTCACTGTATGGACTCAAAAGGCATTTTATGAATACTGGGCAGAGACAAGAATAATACTTTCAGTTTAATAAAAACAGAGCACACACGTTTCACTTGCTGGGATAGCTTCTTTGCAAGCTAGGAAGAAACAGAAGCTGGCATGGGAAGAAGCAAAAGCTGATAGGGCTCTGTAAAGACAGTGTCAAAAATCTCCATGAGACTGAGAAGAAAACAATTTTTTTCAGGCCAGTCATTCACTTCATGGGAGTTCTAGCCATTAGAGCTTATTTCAACATAGTAAAAGGGATCAACTGAAAATTTGTGCTGTCATTGCTGCTGCCATTGCAATGCCAGAAGCCATCACCATAATGAGCTTTTGGACAGTTTGCCAAGCATACCTGGAAGATGCAGCCCTCACCAAAGCCTCTGGCCTGAGTGCAGCAGTGGCAGCCAGCAACTTTGAGCAAAACCTGTGTGAATGGGCAAAGGGATGAGATTTGCCCTAAAATCACCCATTGCTGCTCATCCAGGTGGAACTGGAAAATCAAAGGAGAGCATTCAGCAGGGCAGCAGATGAGGTTGGAGCCTGTGCTTGCTCCAGTGATGTACACAGGGCTCTGGAGGTACAGCTTCCTGGTGGCACTCAGGGGTGCCAAGGTGCTTTAAGGAGCACTCCTGACAGAAGTTCACTTATTTAAGCTGAAGTTCACTTATTTAAGCTGCCCTGACTCAGGAGACTGCTGACAGGTATCAACTTCCAGCACAGAATGCCACTGAATACCACCTGGGATTTCAGCCCAGGTTCTGGGAGGCCGAGAAGTTGCACTCCATGTGGAGTGGGACCCCTGCAGCCTCTCAGTCACAGATCCTAGCCCAGGGTTAGAACAGCCCAGCTCTATGTAATTATTGCATGAAACCAAATTCCTTTCAGAGCTTGCTCTTTCAAACATACAATAAAGAGTTTTGTGTAGCTGCACTGAATTAATAAGGGGTATGTCTCAAGATTCTTAATCAGCTTTAGCTGGCTTTTACTTTGGGAAAACTTCCCAATGAACTTCTGAGTAAGGACATAAGAATTTGTCCAGAGTAACCATTTTCAGCATGAAAAGAACGCTCACTATGTTATTCCCATCTGGCTTTCCTAGAATATCTCATCTGTTATTCCCTTCACACGCCTCTGTGAAAAGGACCCTGTAGGATGAAGTCATCCTGAAGTGCTTTTTTTGTCCTAAAAATCTGCATATTCTTACTATGGTTACTTTGATCAGGGTAAACATGCCCTCACTCCCAGTCTGGGGCATTCCTCCCACACTTTCAATGCAGATTCTCTGCTTTGCCGTCCTTTCACCCAGAGAGAGGGAGTGACCCCTCCACCTCTCTTCCTACCCCAGACAAAAGCCAGACAGCTTCAAATGCTTAAACACTGGCAGATTTATAAGCCTCATCTCTGCTCTGACCCTGGCGAGCCTTGCATGCTGATGAGGATGAGCAAAGTCCAAATTCTTACTGTCCACCCTCTCCATTTTTTTTCTTTCCCTATTGCCTCCTTCCCCCAGTTCCTTCATCCCTGTGTTTACGTGCATGCATGTTCATCCTTTCTTCTGTGCTCCTGGTATTGGAGTATCATGGTTGTGTGAACAGTATCCCTGCCTCTACTGAGGTTCTGCCCAGTCCTGTGGAACACTAATTCTCCTGGGAGATGTGAGGGGTGAGCTGCTGGCAGAGGAGAAGCCAGCAAGACGTCCAAGGAAGCGGCTGCTCCCTAGTCTGAGGGTAAAATGTCTGTGCTGCTTAGTGGCATCCTCCATCTGTGCTGTTACATTCCTGGAGGCAGTCCTTGGGGATCCTGAGCCAGATGATCTGAGCTGCTAGGCAGAGTGACTTTGTGAAGGGAAAGAGGGGAGAGGGGTAACCCAATGAGAAATCTTGGCTTGCACAAAGCCCCCCCCCCCCCAAAGAAGAAGGAAAGGAAGAAGAAATAACAAAAGCAGTCAGGTGACGGCAGGTGACAGCCAGTGAGTTGCAGTGGGCAGCAGAAGGGGCCAGTTGGACCAGGGTAATGCTGCCTTGGACTGGGATGTGCTGCCCCTCCACATGGCTGGGAGGAACCCTCAAGGCCACCACCCTGCAGCCCTCAGAGTGCTGCTGCTCTCCCAGGTGTGGCTCTGCAGACACCTAACACAAAGCTCTGGTGTTTACTGGTGCTGCATGCTTATGTTTGCCAGCAGTGTTTGGATAACCAATGCAGAGACAGATCCTCATCCTTACTTTAAAATTAACATTACCCCTCTTTCAGGGGCAGCTAGTAGCAAAGGTGGCTAATGCATTTGTCTATGCAGAGATTAGGTATGGGTGGTAGTGGTGCTCTGTAGGACCAGAACATCTAGTCTCTGGAGAATATTGTGGAAGGGGTTTTGAGCTGTGCACACACACCAACCTCCAATGGAAGGCCACCTCCTTGATGGCCCAGTCTTTGTTATCTGTGACATGCAGCAAATGCAAGGAGTCACTGCTCTCCCCACAGACAGGCTGCTTACAGGGAGGGAGACAAAGGAGATGGGGGAGAAACAAAGGCAGGGTGAGGAGACAGGTGTGGTGAGGATGAAGCCTGTGTGCCCAAAGCATGGAGAGTCATCACAGCACAGGACAAGACCTTGGTGGTCTGGGTGTTCCTCCAGGGTCTGGAAGTTGCCATTGCCCAACATGTTGTACAAATGATAAATTTGTCCAAAGACTGCTTTAATAAGGAAAAATGTAACCTTAGTCCAGACCCAGATGGTGTTTGATCATGGCTAAATAAAGAAACACAGTATTTCATAAACGAGTGTCTTACCGAAGAGGGAAGCTGCATGTACTGGTGCCACCCAGTGCCCTTCAGCATCCAAAGAGCAAGTCTTGCTGCTGCTCCAAAGATATTTTCTCGTTTCTGTCACAAGAAGATCAGCATACCCTTGCATCAAGATAATGTGTTTCTTACCAGGTTTTTGCTTGTGTCTGTCATGCAGGCAATCTATAAGATGGTTTCTTCTGTAATGAAGATGCCAGAAGATGAGTCAACCCCAGAGAAGAGGACCGAGAAGATCTTCCGCCAGATGGACACCAACCGTGACGGTAGGCGCCTGCAGGGGTGGCTGCGGTGTCCCGGCACATGGGACGATCTGAAGGCCAACAGGGGGCAGGCAGGCAGGTCTCCACCTTGCAGGGTTGCTTTCCCAGGAATTTTCCTGGCTTCCCCAGCTTCCTTCCATCATGCTTGTCCAGGGGTTTAACAGGTGTGCTGCAACCCACCACGTGCTGTAAGTAAACATGTTTCTTTTCTAGGAAAGCTCTCTCTGGAAGAGTTCATCCGAGGCGCCAAGAGTGATCCGTCCATAGTCCGTCTCCTGCAGTGTGACCCCAGCAGTGCCGGGCAGTTCTGAACCTGTACTTTGGATCAATTATGTATCTGCTTTTTTTTTTTTTTTTTTTTTTTTTTTTTGCCAAACAACATTCATGGTAGTGTTGCCTCTGTATGGCCAATTATGCCTTCATTTGTGGCATCTTATAGCTTATTTTGTTGTGGATTAATTATAAGAATGCTGAATTGCTCTTAACAATTTGTCCAGGGCATGGGCAGTACTGTTCTAAACAGATATTGTGGTGTTATCATTGTTTCATTGGTTTTAAAATTCCTTTTTGTTTATTTGTTTGTTTGTTTGTATCTGTTTTGGAAAGTAACGTGTTGAGGAGGAGTAAACCTAAAACAAACCCCTTGGCAGCAAGACACACTGACAGATTTTAGATTGCTGCTTTAGTTGTTAGGTATTCACCTGCAGGAGCTGAAAGTGTAGTAAGGCTGAACCAAAGGGGTTGTGATGGGTGGGGTAGGATTCACCTGGAACCGCCTCTCCCGTCCAGGAGGCACCAGTTCAGATCTAAGACAGGACTGGGAAGAAGTATGAAAATGCAAAACATGTGTGGGGTGTATCATCCATTCCTATGCCTCGTTGTTTCAAGGCTGTGAACACTTTCCAGGTTGTGAAGAAGGGACAAAATGAAGGTTGACATTTTTTTACTAGGTTTACAGTGGTTGAAGTCATATGGCTTTATCTGAAAATTCAGCAATTTGCAATCCTGGTCTCCAAATCCACAACTGACAATACCTCTTGCCGTTTGGGATCAGTAAAAGCAGACACAGATATGAAAAGCTGGGTCTTGACAATGAATTTAAGGGAGATACGTGTTGAATGTGAAATTTTCAGGTTAGTAATAAAGCAGTTGCTACTAGAGAGAGTGGGCATTCACGTGAGGAACTCACAGACACCTGCAAGCAGCTCCAGCTAAGGCACATCTGCTGTTCTCAAGGCTCTTGCATAGCAGGTAGTTTTGGGGGTGTTTTTGTCTCTCTCCATGTAGCTACCAGAGTTTCTGGGCCTGCTCTTAGGGGAAGGCTGTCATCAAAACTTGTTTTAAACATAAAATTGTAGCATTTATATTTCATTTATTTTAGTAAAGTTCAAAAAATCTGTACTGAAATGAGGAAATGGTACGCTTTATGATATATTTATATATATAAAAATTAAAACAAAAAAAGATCAGCTCTTGAGAGAAATGTTGAATGTTTATCTTTCGCCCAGGTGCAGGAGTTCTGAAATTTGCTGCTGCAAAATTTTATCCTTTGGTCAAAGTTGCTGTATGCAAAGCTAGTACACACATGTGGGATTTCTTAGGGACTTTACAAGTGCAAAAGAAAAGCTGGAAAAGCTTTAGCAACAGGAGGCATTATGCTGACTAAATTGGCATTAATCACTCATTAGCTGAAGTCTGCTTTGTGATCCTGCCGGAGAGCTACCCATGCAGGCAGCAGCACGGTGTTGGGAATTCATGAGCTCATTAGAGTAACCTTTGTCTGACAGGCAAAGTTGGCATTTTGTCAAGTGACCTTGTAGATGCTAATCCCCAGTAGCCTTAATTTAAAATAAACCAAGTAAAAGAAGTCTGCTTTGCAGGTGATGATTAGCTAAGTACTAATTAGAAGTCACGAATAAGTAGTTGAGCATAAATAATCTTCTATGGAACACTAGCTAGCATGTACAATAACTGACAGAAGCAATCCTATACTTAATTTTTCCATACCATTTGCTTTGCTAGGTGTTAAGGGCAAAGCATTTTAAAAGAAAATAAAATTAAATTGAAAATAACATTTTTAATTAGTAGTACTAAAATTTTTATGAGTGGCTAATGACAATAAATGTCTTCAAGCACACATCTCTGTCTCAAACAATCACAAAAATCCAATTGATGATATATTTCCATTACATTCATCAAAATACTGAGCTGAGATGAGTGTGGGAAAATAAAAAAGCAAAGAAGACCCAACCACAGGCACAAACAGATTTTAATACCCAGCACTTTCAGGTGTTATGAGCAACACTAGCAAGTTTTGCACCAATTCTTCTGGCTGATGAAAATATTCCCTGTCTCCTTCTCCGAAACCCTAATTAGACACCATGTGCACAAATCTAACCCTTCAAGGGATAGTCTGTGCCTACCTTCTTCAAGGTAATTTTCTGCTTTACCTAGAGAGGTTCTGGCCCTCTCTTCATGTCCATTACCTCATGGATTTTGGAAGTCATGTACTTGAGGGTTGTTTTTCAGCAGAAGAAGCCTGGCCAGACTGCTGGGGATTGCTGCAGGAAGGTCAGTGGGCACGCAGTGATCAGCACACCCCTCTGCCAGATGGGAATGACCCGTGCCACAGCCCAGCTTCTCCAGGGGTGCTCCATCACCACCCCTGCATGAGCAGGACAAGGTGACACCAGAGGATCCCTGCTGAACTTCCAACCTCCTGGCTCAGCACAGGCACCTGTGTCCAAAGCAGCCCAGGCCTGTGGAAGCTGGCATTTACTGAAGGTGAACTCGGATACCTCCTACGGTTCCATCTTCTTCCTAATGCTGTGAAAGCAGTTGCATGTGACTGAAACTTTTAAAATGTTGCCTTTTCTTTAAGTGGACACCACCTCTTTTTCATTTTACAAGACACTTCTGGCTCAGAACCTAATCTCTCCATTAGTTTTTGCTCAGTAGTTTTGGGGTGTTGGGGCCAGGCTCACCTCCTGTGTTACTCCCATACAACACGAGTTTGAAAGCACACCCTGTGCTGTGACCCCAGCAGAGATGTAATGCTTCCTACAGTTCACAAAATTTGGAATAATAAGAACTAGCTTACAGCTGCAGAGGATATAGCTGCAGATAAGGCTATTGTATAAACATTTACAGAGTGAGCTAGGGTTATTCTTTTACCTGACTGCCACTGATGATTGGTATTATTTTAAATTATTAACTATCCCATTCTTTCTCTGTCTCTGCATGTACTTAAAGAGTGATTCGTAGCTGAAGTTGTGATAGGAACATCTGCAGACCTCAAATCAGCAGGACAGCAGTGGTGTGCTGTACCTCAGACTGAAATTTTCTGCTTTGCTGTCATTTGCATTTGTAATAATAATTGCCTTCATAAAGCTTTTGAAGGCGAAGTGGTATATATGCTGTATAAAATAGCACAGTAAGCCGGACTTTTGAGTGATTCATTAGCAGTATCTCCACACAGGAAGGATGGAGACAGCACATATTATTTCATATCACTTCTCAGTTTTGTAGATGCATTCTTTAGTTTTACTTGCATGTGCAACAGGCAGCCTTCACTCCTCAAATGAAGTTTAAAATCTAAGAGGATTTTCTCAGGTGGGTTTGCTAATCACCATCATCCTGTGATGATCACCCGTCATCATCAACACTCCTGTGTTGTCCAAAGGAATTAATGAGTGTATCTCATGGAAAATGTCAGTCCCATTTATCTGGCATTCTCAGTCAGCTTGTCAAACTCTGTGCCAGAAGATGTGATGTGAGGACTATGACTTGTGAGTTTTGCAATACTCTATTTGTTTTAGGGTGCTTCGGGAAAGGAAAAGGGAACACAACCCTTTTAAAACCAGCACTCGTGTTCTTGTGAGCACTTAGAGTTTGAGAGGGACTGAAGAATATTTATGTTTCAACATTATTTGAAGCTATGTCAGTTCACGATTCAATAAGGTACCTAGAGCTATGCTGTTCCCTTGCAGTTCTTAGGAGCTTGTAGGATTTTTATCTTTTTCCTGGGGCATTCTTTGTTGCTTTGTGTTACAAGGCATGACCTCCACATTTTTGCTGCCTAAAACAGTAAGTCAGAAGTGTGTGAATTTCATAGCTGGATGAGCTCTGTGTGCAGAAATCTTGCACACCAGCACAGGAAGTAGTCACACATGACCAAGTCCCTGTGGTTTGGACACTGCCCCTGGGGGATGAGCCCCAGGACTTCACTGATGGCAAAAGTGCAATAATGCGGCTTAGCTTGATTTTCTTTCACTGCAGATCAGGTTAAGTCGCATTACCTTGCATTTGCTGTGGGCAGAACCTTGTCTCAGCTGACTCATGGAAACTTGGTGAACTGTGGTAACTTGGTGTTGAGCCCTAATCTGCAGACTAAGCTAAGGTGAGAAGATGGCCTTGGCCATATGTCTCAGTACATGTGAACCAGGGAACACGGTGACAACTGGCAGGTCGCTGGGGACATGTGGCAGTGGGAAGGGAATCTCCTGCCTCAGAACAAATGCTGTGAGCTGAGCTGCCTCCTTTTAAAACTCTCCCCTTTTTCAGCACCATTGGTGTGAGAGGCAACATGATAGCAATATAGCAGGTCAGGATTGGAGAGGCATCCTACAAGAGTTTCCTTTTAGAGTTTAGTGCCAGGTGAAACAATCAGACTAGTCTGATTGCTGGCTGGACAAGTCTTCCTGAACACTCAGTACACCAGCACCTCCTTTCATCTTTCTCATGGTGCTCCCTCTGTTTCCAGGCATGGCAGTCCTTGGGCTCAGCAGCTAGATGTCAGGTACCTGGTGCAAGACTGGTGGAGAAGAATATTTCACCTGCCCTTTGCAGAAATATTTGGATGCATTCTTTGCTCTGTGTCTTACAAAGCGGGATGCCATGTAGGAGTAGGAACGCGGGGAAAGTTGGTTTTCTTGGTATCGCAGGCAGAATTTGTACTTAGAAATGCAGAGAAACTTGTGAAGTGCCAGGGAGCTGAGCAGTGCTCAGAGCTGTGTGCAGAGTTTTCCACTGATTGTGCAGTAGGCAGATAAGATAAACAGCAGTGATAAGTCAGGCACATGGTGTGATGTGTTTTGAGATAGGGCTTGACTAGAAATGGCACCTTCTGTGTGAGCAGCTCTGTCTGCTGCATATTCTGTCAGAGGTGCTGATAAAATACACTCTAAAATTAAGCAGCAGAGCTGTTCACCATACCCTGGCAGGTACTGAACAAACAGCTCCCATGATGAGCATAAGGTTTTCCTTAAGTGCAGCTGAGGACAAAACATTGCCTATGGGAGTTAATTCCCAGTCGTGGTAGAAAAGAAGGGAAAGCACTGTTGGTTCTCAAAGACCAGGCTTTGATGGTGGAATCAACATCTGTGTTTTAAGCACATAAAAAAGACAGCAGAGATTGTAAACTGGCATGGAAATCAGTGACATTAGAGAACAGGACCACTGCTGAGGGATTGCAGAAGCCATTAGGTGCCTCTGACCTTCAGAGAAGTAGAACCATCAACTGGATGCACAGACAGTCTCCTTGCCCCTTGCAGAAACTATCCCTGTATACTATGGGTATCTGAACCCATCTCTTATTCCATCCTGGCCTTTGCTGCTGTTGTTACCAAGTTATCCATACTGAGAAGTTGTTTCCAGAGTGAGGATTTTCTCAGGATAAGGTATAAAGCTTTCCAGATGTACTGTCCATATCCTAACAAGCTGGAAAGGCCAGATGCAAGGGGCCTCTCATTGTTTCCCACAGGTAGTGTTATTTCCAGGTGTAGCTGGGATTAAGCTATCACCTGTAAAATGCTGACTAATGCTGACTAATAAGTAAAGCAAAAAAAGAGCTTGACTTGTAGTGAACAATGGGAAAAGTCTAAAATGAAAAACTGTAAGGACATCTCTGCCTGTAGCCCAGGGTCTGGATTTGCATAGTGAAACCCTCTTAGCAGAAGCCAGCAAAGAACATCTCCTCTACTCCAGCACAGTCGGTGGGACCTCCTGGGCTGCTTCAGCCCTGTGTGGTGAGGCTGGGGACTCTGGGTCCTGCCACAGACATGATCATCTGAGATTATTAGGCACACTGAGGGCTTCCTAGATCTTGAGGCACGCAACAGCCATCAGCTCTGCATGGTATTCACTTACTGTGCACATGAGATGTTTTAGATCTTTCCCTCTTGCCCTGACCTTATACCAAAGATATTCTCACCTTCCCAGAGCATGTGCTCAGGGTGTCCAGCTCTCCAAGTCTTTGCAGCCACCTCCCAGTTGCCATCCCCAGCCTCTGTGTGAACAAATAACAACAGCCCTTGACATGTGAAGGAGCCAAGCTTGATGCACTTAAGTGGAACAGCTTCTCATTTGGTTTCCCATCTTTGGCCCACCTGTGAGTACCACACTATTTATTTCTTATTATCAAGCAATGGCAGTATCAAATATTTTAAGGGCACACTGAACCTCTGAAACAACTTGGTTTTCATTATCGCGTGGGTGTTTGTCGGGGCACCGCAGCCTGGACGTGCCTGGTGCGCACTCTCCGCTGCCCTGTTCACTCCACAGAGAGCTGGTTTCTCCAGGCTGCTGCCAGCAGCACCGGGCTGTGCATCCCCCTGCAGAGTGTGGGTGCCCCCGGCCTGCAGGAGCACCCAGCTGCTGTGGACCAGGAGATAATTTTGGCATAGTTGTATCAGGCAGAAACTCTTCCTGCTCTCTGTCAAAAACAAGTGTTGGGGGTGTGACCTCTGGTTTTCTCCTCCCTGGGCACAGGGGTTTCAGCAGTGTTCAGGGCTGGCCTCACGTTTTCCCCACCAAATGGGACGGCAGGATGAGGCTGATTAGCAAATCCACCTGAGAAAATCCTCTTAGATTTTAAACTTCATTTGTGCTGCTCATTGGCTGCACTCAGAGGGGAGATTAATGGGTCCAGTGTGGTAGTTTGGGGGAGAACTTGCAGTTTCTTGCCACCACCACCTTTTTATTTCCTGTCATTATTCCCATTTCCAGGGCAACCAAATATTTTTTTATTAGTATCTGGAAGAAAAAGAAAAATCCAGGGTTTCAATCCAATAAGGATCTAAGGAAGGTTAGATGTGGACATCTAACCTTCAACTAACTGTCAAATGACTGACATGCTCAATGTTAGTCATATGAATGTTTCACAAAATGATGTTGCTTTGGTATTTTGCGTTTAATTTTCTTATTCACGTTTCAGGCATGTTTATGATTTATTTCATTATTTTGGATCCTCTTAGATTCAGCCCTGCTGATCCTTCAGTTCTTATGCACAAGTCCCAAAGACCCTGAGAGCAGAAGTGACTGAGCAGTTATTAGCAAGGTGGGCATACGGTGCCTGGTAAAAATGAAGAGCTTAATTACCTTAGGGATTTTTTTGTCTGCACACTTGCTTCAAGGACACAAATTGAGCTGCATTTCAATATGTTTATCTCTTCCATTTTCTCACTTCAATTCCAAGCAGTCTTGTAGTTAATATTTGTATATTCAGCATTACTTTGCTCTTGAACCTGAAGTAACCAATATTGTCTTCCTCTGACAGGAGTACTTAATACCTTTGATTTTTAAATATTGCTGAGTGAGGTGATGGATGCAAAAGTAGTTACACATTTGTGTGCTGGCTTTGGCTGTGATAATTTTCCTCACAGTAGCTAGAATGCAGGTCAGTTTTGGATTTGTGCTGGAAATAGTGTTGATAATAGAGGGATGTTTTCATTACTGCTGAGCAGTGCTCACATGGTGTCGAGGACTTTTCTGCTTCCCATCCCATCAGCAAGGGAGATGGGATGGGACACAGCCAGGACAGCTGATGCCAACTGACCCCAGGGATACCTCAGACCATGGCATCATGCTCAGCATATAAAGAGGGAGGGGAAAGAAGGAGGAAGAGGGTGACAAGTTCAGAGTGATGTCATTTGTCTTCCCAAGTCACCATTACCTGTGATGGAGCCCTATTTTTTTGGGGATGGCTGAACACCTGCCTGCCCCTGGGGATTGGTGAATGAATGCTTTGCTTTGCTTGTGCATGGGACTTTTGCATACCCTATTAAACTGTCTTTATCTCAACCCACGGGTTTTCTCACTTTTGCTCTTCCCATTCTCTTTTCCATCCTACTAGAAGGGAGCAAATGAGTGGCTTTGTGGGACTTAGTTGCTGGTTGGGATTAAATCATAACAATTTGTTTAAATTTGGGCAGATATTTTTGAGGCTGTAGAAACTAATAAATTGAGATAAAACATGGCCAAGAGCTGAATGGATCAAAGTGTCCAGTTCCTATTTAAGTCCATGACCATTCCACAGGGAGAGCTTTCTCTGTTCCCTCAGGCTGTTGCATCATTGCAGCACAGAGTAGACATAACAAATCAAACTTAAAATGATCTACTATAAGCAGACTCACTGCAGCAGCATGGAGTTCAGTATATCCTGTGTCTTGGCAAAATTAGATACCTCTATAGATGAATGCTTTGTAAGCAAACCTACATATCCTAAGGAAGACTTTTACTATTCAGAAAGGAGAGAGACAATTATGAATTAAATTAATTTGGTCCACATATTTTTCTTACAGCTGTCTAGAATTGCAAGTGTCTTGTGTGTTGTTGCCTGTAGCTGTTGTGATGTGTTAATTCCCCCCCTGGTTCTGTGGTAAGCTCATCTGGTGGTATCCTGAGCCTCCAGCTGGTTCTCCGGCAGGCAAAGCCCATGAGAAGGACATGTAGAGGCGAGTGGCTTTCAGGCACACCAGGGACAGCTTTTGGGGATGTGGCCCTGTGCTGTTCCATGCTTTGGGGGTCTGTACCTACAGAGCAACATGTTAAACCTACTTGATAAAATGAAAGTAGATGGTCAGGCCACCAAAGGAGACGGAGAATTTGGTGGAGGGGTGTGTGTGTTTTGTGCCCCCCAGCACGTGCACGGTTTCCCCAGCTATTAACTTCCAGTTAAGGACCTTTCCTGAGCTCTTAGTGTTAGAATAGAGTTTTCTTCTGCTGATAATGTATTTGTATTATGCAACATACTCAGAAAACAGAAGATTATCTCTCTATGACCGTCCTCTCCTCTTGAGAAGCTCTTCTCCTCTGTACATATGATATGCAGAATGTATGGGAGTCTTACCAGCGTTGGTTTGCATTTTTAAGACTGTACTAATTAATGTGTGATACTATTGTGTTTTTGTAGTGGCATCTTTGATGTAAGATGTAAAAAGTATTTAAATTTTTTTTTTATTATTGTTCAGCTTTTAGAGATAGCACCAAGGACTGCATGTTCACTAGAATCAGCCTTTTTCAGGGGCTGTCATAGCTGCACGCAGGCACCGGTGTTTCACCCGGCATGTAGCACCTGCGTTCCACTTTTAATAGGGGTCAGTTTTGAGTGAAAAAGAATTCTTCCTGAAAAGTCTAGTTTTGTCTTTCCCTCTCTTAGATATAAGCTTCCCCCTCCCATGCTGTGTGTGCCAGCCCTGGCCCCAGGAGGAGACCTGGGAGGAGTGTCTCCCGACCCGGGGCACCCCTTGGCATCAAGCACCCTCACCCCGTAGCTCACCCAATGTGTGCTCCTCGGAACTTGGCTTTCCTTGGAATTGCTGGCTGTGCCAGCACAACAACGGTGGGCTCACATTGCAAGACAATTTGTGCAAGTGACTTTAAAATGAATTAACTAAAATTGAGGGGAATTAAGGAAAAGAAGAGCCTGAGCAGCAATTTTAGGGGCAGAATCTTACTGGGATGCTTAATACAGCAAGAACTTGGGGTCAGTTCCTAAAAGACAGGACCATTTGAATGGCTTAGGTCTACATTTCTTGCCAGGTTTGGAGAGTGAAGTGGGGCTCAGATCCAGCCTTTCAGGCAGGGTTGACTTACAAGATAGACTGAGTCTGAGATGCTTGTCCAGATTGTGTCGTGGGCCAAAAGACAAGACATGCTGCAGCTTAGGAGTTATTTCTTTCAGCTTTGTTTTTTTGGGGTTTCTTTTTTTCATTTTTAATGGAGAAAGCAGTTCAAACTGCACCTGGCAAAATGACTGACTTCAAAAACTTGTTTTTCCTTGTTATATAGACACTCACAAAACAGCATTGTGTGGCTAAAAAAGCACATATGTGACAGTTTCTTTCTGAGTGCCAAAATATATAAGCAGTATTGTTTGAAGGGAAATAATTTTTTTTTACTGTATTGTTATTACTGTTGAACAAATATATTGTTTTTAAATGTTAGATTTTGAAGACTTTTGTATTGTAAATTGTTTTGTGACACGGTGCTTTTTCATACTGGAATTACTGATTGCACCTAAATATTAATTATTGCTTTCTTATATAAATATATGACCTTGAACAATCTTGATGAAAATCAATGTATGGTGGATACCAACAGTTCAAAAAAATTCACCTACTGAAATCCCCTAAATGTTCTTTCCTACTAATAAACATTCTGCTGCAGCTAGTGATGGTGTGCCATGCGCTTTCCTCACTTCACAGTGGAGCCTTAAATCCTCACATAGCTCCATGGTCTGGGGAGAAAACCCCAGAGAAGCCTTTGCCTGCTGCCTTCACAGCTCCTGTCCCGCTCACTGCTGTGGGCACAGCCAGCAGCTGTCAAAGCCAGTTTGGAGGGCTCAGCCAGGGCTTAAGCTGTGCATGGGCTGGGCTGGCACATTGCAGCCAGCTGGGCGCTCCACTCTAACACAGATTTTGCTCCAGCATCTAAAGCCAGCAGCTGGGCAAGGAGTAGGATATCCTCGGAGTGGGTTATAAAAGCAAAGGAAGGACAGCACAAGACTGAGATCCCTGGTCCTCTGAAGCTGGAAAGAGCAGCTTAGCTGACTGACAGCAACTTTCCCTGCGATAGATAAATCCCTCTACCCCCTAAAGACTATCACACCATCAAGGGAGCATGGGCAGGGTGGTAGCTGTGGTTAGTCGCTCTGAGACGTGGCTGATGAGGCAGCAGCAGAGCTTGTCACAGTAGGGACTCCTGCCAGCCTCAGACAGGCTCTGGAGAGGGCTGGCTGATGCTACTGTGCATGCTCCTTAAACTCCTCAAATTTTTACCTAGGTTAAATTTGGAGCTGGGATTAGCTGAGTGCAAAAAGTAGTTTAAATCACACTGGAAGGTAGCAGAAACCAGTGCCTACTTCCTTTTGAGATTAAACAAAAATGCCTATTTGTGGAACTGCACATTAATCTGAGCTTGAGACAGGCTGGAGCCAGAATGAAGCACCAATTGCAGTATTCAGGTATCCCCTGTGCTCAATGCAAACCAGCTTTATTACACAAGCTTCCAGTATGCCAGACTCCCTGTGATGGACATTCTCCTCACCCTCCCCGCAGGACCATCATACAAGGAGGTGTTTATTTGTACAGGGGTGCTAAAATCCTCCACTTACTACCCTTGCTGTCCCTCCTCTCCCTGTTCAAAGGCGTCTGCCCCAGTCACTGGAGCACGTTGGACTCCCACAATCTCGGAGTGGACCTCCCACCACCTCAGGGAAGAGGGAACCTGTGATCCTGCAGCTCATGGCCCCACCTGGGGAGTAGCATGCTCCAGAATCTGTACCAGTGTTTTCTGCAGCACAAATTAAGCCAAGAGATTGGGAAGGTGCTGGAAACAACGGCTTTGCTGCTCCAGTGAGTCCCCTGAAGTTTTGGTCAGGAGCTAGAGGTGGAGTGTTTTGCTTCCTGCTCCTAAAAAGGGGTCAGTTCTTCTTAATGACCTTTAATCAAGGTGAGCCGAGTCACCTTGCTAAAGCCTGGCTCAGCCATGCCGCAGTCCAAGCCTTGAGCATGCAGTGGCTCCCATCAGCCAACACACTTCTCCTCACCGCTCCATGGCCTCGCAGATGGAGCACTGCCAACCACACAGCTCTAAAGCATTTGCATTTTAAGAGCCACTCAGTAAAACCACTTCCTATAAAACATAATTTAACATCTATCACAGGCAGTGCCCAGGAAATGTGGTTACCTTAAAGGGCTGCATGAGAGCTGGTCCTGGCTCACCCTGCACTGCTCATCCAGAGCACTGAACTCCTCCACCCCACTGTCCTGCTGTCCTGCTACTGATTGGGGAATCAACCTTTCCTGAGGCAAATGCTGTCCCAAGCAATTTCCCACCTACTAAGATGTTCTGACCTCCTGAATCTTGTTTGAAAAGTCAAACAACTGGTGGAGAATAAAATGTTTGGTGAAAATGTTTTACTGCCAGATATGTGACCAGGTATGCTTCAATGCTTTGGGAGTAGATGTGGGTAAGGATCTCAACTCAGGTACCCAGGAGTCACAAAGATGTGAGTGTCAGTGCTTCCAGCCAGGCTCCCAGGACACTCCAACAAGTCACAGAATCACAGAACAGCTGGGGTTGGAAGGGATTTCTGTGGTTCATCTGGTCCAATTCCCCTGCTCAAGTAGGGCAAATGAGAGTTGGTTGTTCAGGACCCGTCAAGGCAGCCTTGAAATATCTACAGGGATAGAGACTCCACAACCTCTCTGGGCAACCTACTCCCCAATTTCAGAGGGGAACCTCCTCTGTTTTAGTGTGTATCCACTTGCCTCTGGTCCTGTCACTGGGCACCATTTAGAAGACCCTGACTCCATCCTCTCTGCACCCCCTTCAGGTACTGGTACCTACTGATACTCTCTCTCCTGGAGAGATGGAGAGATGTAGTAATACACACCACAGCACCAGAAATATTATCTCATACATAGGAATATTTATTTTTTTCCTTCTTAAAAATGTACAAAAAATAAAATAACTGTATTTACAGCTTATCAAACCCCTCTCCCAGTTGCAACACTATTAAGTTACATGAGCTATATTCTTAATATAAAAGCACACTATACATTAAGTTTCCTTGTTTGCCAGAAAGACGGCTTGTCACAATCTTTGGCACAAACATTCTTGTTTGTATCTTGTCTCAATTAATAGGAAATGGAAGAGCATATGAACATTTAATAAGCTTTACATTTTATAAGTCATAAGATACTCCTTTCCAGTCCCACTTCAATCAATATACAGCATCTCTGACAGCTAGAGAGCTTAGATTTTACTAATTGTTAGAATTAATTTACATTTAAACAATTCATAGAATGAAAGAGAAAAATATATAAGAAAGACATTCAATCTCTGAATTCCATTGACCAAAAACTTTGTGAGAGAGGACACACATGAAAAAAACATTCTTTTCTTTGTAGTTTACACTCAGTGTTAGAAATCCTCCAAAATGTCTTGATGGGGTTATCACCGTACATCCACAAAGCTTCACTCAAGGGATGCACTGTATTTTGGGAATATCAGCACATGACTGTAAGAAAGAACTAGAATTTGAGAATTTGAATGGGATTTCATAATGAAACATCAAGTGGACGGATGAAGTGCCAAATCCGCAGCAGGAACCAAAATTAGAAGACTGTTCTCCTTTTGTACATTTCTATCTAGAGACTTTCAAAATGTAACATCTACAGACATAGCACTGCTATAGCTCTTCATAGAGAAAATGCACTGAACAGCAAGCCACTCTTCAGGCTGCAACTAGTTAAGATTCAAGATTGCTATCTTGAAGAAGAGAAGGAAATGAGAATTTTGTTCCTTTAAATAAACAACCAAAGCAGTGCCACAAAGAGACAAAAGGAGGCAAGGCAGATATTCCTGTCTCGTACTGAACAGTAGCCAAATCTTACTTCCATTTAATTCATAATATTTGGATTATCCAGCATTAATCAATATTTTTTATCAAACAACAGCAACATGCATATTTTAAACAATACACATGTAAGCTCTGTGTACTCCTCAGGATATCTGAGTCAAGCAGGGCACAAAGCAGCCACTGCTTCAGAAGTTTGCATTACTCATACCACTCCTGCCCCTTTCCCAGCACTCTGATGGACTGATTAGGACCAACAAGGTGAACCCTGAGAGCTTGCAGCCTGCCACAACCAGCATCCAAGGTTCAGTGCTCCTCCAGCAGCTGATGCTGTAACTACAACTGAAGGGGTGCAGCATGGATACTCAGTCTTAGTGCTTGTGATGCACCTGTATCTGGAGCAGAGAAACAAAACCCTCAGACCTTGGCAGATAAAGTTAAAGGTGATCATCCTTACCTAGCTCTAGCTGTTTTAAAATAATCTTACCACCAATGTAGTCACCTTCCTGATAACTTCATTGAGACTGTAAGAAGGAGTTAAAGGCAAAAGTATTAGCCTTCTACTATCAGGAATTTGCACACTTTAAGATATATTTAGAATAGCTTTCAGTTAATCTTGGAAGCAACTTTCCTTTTCTGGACAGTGGCAGACTGGTAGCTCCTAAAATGACAATGGAAAGAAAGGTCCTGAAGGCCCAGTATTCCTGGAGCACTACATTTCTCACTGATCCTGCACCATTCCTCATCACAGGATGCTGCAGCACCCAATCTCAGCTCATCTCAACCCAAATGTAAGACAAAACCATCCCATTAACCTGAGTGCTGGTGCTGCCAGGACTACCTGTCCTTCTCTGTGAACTCAAATTCTCTACTGGCTTTTCTTAATGCAGCACATTCCAACCCAGGCCAGCCCCAGGTATTCCCTTGGACAGCAGGTTTGTTGAGGGCAGAACTAGGGCTCAACTCCTGCATACAATTACTCCTTTGCTTCACCTGCAGCTTCTGCCCAGACATCTTAACCAGCTGAGAGATGCCAGATGATAGTCTGAGGATTCCAGATATCAACAGAGAAATACAAGAACTAACAGTATTGCTCACCAGTCCTGTGTGCTGAACCCAGTTCCTAATGCCTCCTGTCCAAACTGTCCTCTTTTTTTCTTTAATAAAAAAATATCTGGGATAAGTCAGCATAGACTTTTTATCTCAGTCTGAGCCAAACAGAAACAAACTGAACCATCATAAATCTCTTATATTCCCATATTGTTTACTCTTGAGCAGGGTAGCAAAAGCATCTTTGCTGGAGTGTATTTTTATATAAAATTAAGGAAATTACAATAGAACTCTGCATCAGAAGGGGAAAGAGTGCAAGACAAAAGAAAAGGGCAGGAGAAACACAGAATACACACTTTGCTTTACAGGCATACGTGAATTCTGGGTATGTTAGTGCTGATGCTACCAGCCTGAACCTTTAACAGTTTCTGGTCCCACAGAAACTTTGACGTGTACTTAACATTTCTATTTGGATGTCATAGGGACATTCAGCCCTTGAATCCCTTTCCTGGTATGATTTCAGCACAACTTTTATCTCTTCACAGAATTCACAAGGCAGGCGTGGAATTTGATGGAATAACCATGTAGTGCAACTTGGGTTGAGATGCAGCCCTTCAGAGAGACCAATCTCCACTCCTCAGTCGTGGGATACTCCGTCTCCAGTGGAAAAATTATTCCAGCTTTGATAAAATATTTACATCAAGCCCAGGCTTATACATCACCCAAGTGTCCTAGGAATCACAACAGAATCATTCAATGGAAATACAGGAGCAAATACACTTAAAAGGAAGAGTTTGAAGTCCTGTTTCTTACAGTCTAGAGGAAGGCTTTGACACACAGGCTGCTGCAGAAAGAACCTTTCCAGCACAGGTTTGAGAAAAGACCACTTTAGGAGTCTCTGCTTCATTAAAGGAAGACGACCAGGAAGAAGTCCCTTCTGTACCTCTTGGCATACTAGGCAGCAGACATGTGGTGTCTCTTGGATTCTGTTACAGCTGGATGGAAGACAGGTATCTACAGCTGGGACTTGCTCCATTGTGCCAGAACATCCAAGACCCATGAGAGAGCCTGAGCCTGCTCTAATATTTCAATATACAATTGTGTGAGCAAGGATGGAGCATATGAGTACAGATTCAATTATCAGCTTCTCAGTACACACTCCTTAATAGATTGTAGCAATTTAATCCTCTAGGAAAGATTCTATTAAACCCTAAACCAAATACATACAAAAACAGTGGCAGTAAACATGCCCACATACAGTAGTTAAAATATATTATTGCATATTATAAACATTATATACAAGGTTAAAATGGTTTCTTTACCATTTACTTACAAGTGACATTTGTAGCTGAATGCTTTACTTACAAGTCCTCATTGCTACGTGCTGAGAACTACCAGAGGTATTTGGCAAGACTATACAATATAGAGATATAGATCAGTATGAGCAAGTGAACTGTCAGCCACTTTGCCCATTTTTAGCACTGCAACAGATTTTTAGCAATGACAGAGGCAACTACTGGTAAAGTGATTTATACCAGATTTCTGAAATCAGACCAGCATAGTTACTGAATATGTTTTAGAATGAGCTTATCCACACTGAAGTATGGATTAAAATGCTGCATTTCACATTTGCAGTGGATCATCTGGTTACAAATCTGGGGGCTGGTAACTGCTTGTACACTAAAGAGTGAGGAACAATAAATAAGGGACCAGGTTAATGTGAATGGCCTTGTGCTTGACAAACCCAAGTCTATCTGCAGTGGGTGCACTTGTGCAGAATGGACAGTGTTTTCAATGCACTCTTGTAACAGTTTCTCTGATCAATGTCTGTCAAGTAAATGGGGAATCTGCTTTCCAAGAAGGATGAAATGCTGTGGTTCCTTACAAAAAGGTTCTGCCTGAGGCTAGATCTCTGTCAGTGTGATCTTGAAACCTTCAACCATGCTCTCCATGTTCAGGATGAATGTGTCCTCGTTGGAGTAGTGCTCAATAATGTTGTCATCCATGTTTACCAGGATGCTGGTGACAAAGGCAGAAATTAATGTTTTTATGTACCAGAACACTGAAAGGAAAAGCTATACACTCTGCCACATGTACTTGCTTCTCTACAACACAAAACCAGATTCCAGCACATGCCAGTACATGCTCTCTAGTAGGAATTATCATCAAGATCTGCCCCACAGTCTCTTAATAGTCTTTGGATTAAAGGCTGCTCCTTGCCAGGGCAGTTAAGGGACATGCCAGCGCTGGGCTGTTAACACACTTAGGCTGCCCACAGATGAGCTGCACTTCAGATCCCTGTCAGACCCAGCTAGCTGGTGCTTCCCATGCCTGGTGGTGGCCCCCACAGGGACACATCCATGCTACTCCTCAGGCACACCATGTGAGCTCACACCACTGTGGTGTGAGCTGCTGACACAGGGAAGCAGTGTAATTTGTGCTTTGCACACAGCTCACAGACTTAGAACTCAGCCTAGATGTGAGATTATCAACAATGACTATTACAAGTGTATATGAGTGTTTTCCTCTCTCTTTACTTCCAGATGTTTCTTCTGTCACTTAGAAAGAAGCAAAACATGAGAAGTTTCACCTGTCTTCTCAAAAGCTAAAGAAATCACAAGACAACAATGCCCTAAACTAGTTACAGCTGAAAATAAATGACTGGTTCAAAATTATATTGCTACAATCTTGTGGCTAAATAGAACTTTAAAAAACAGTTGAAGTGGAGAGATTTAGTTTTACAGCAAGGAGCAGAAGCCTAGCTATTCTAAAAGTCCAGCTGCAATGTTCATGTCTAAATTTATTTGGCTGAAACCCCTGCAGCAAACATTGCCTGCCTGTCTTTCAGAGCAAGACAGTGGCCTACTTCCTGCTAATACTGCAGGAAAACTCCACACTGCATCCACAGCAAGGGCAGCAGCTCCCATGCTGGCCCTCCATGATGTTATTAAGCACATCGTCTACAAAACAGACTTTATCCACATGTCTTGTCCACAAACCCTTCTTTCACACTAAGCTTATGAATACTGGTCAGACACAGTTTGGAGATCCATATTTCTTCTTCTGCCATCTCTTACAGTCTCCATAGACATGAAGATTTCAAGCACATGGGTGTATCTCCTGTAAGAGTTTGTGCTCCCCATGTGCAGCATCATGAGGCCCCAAGTATAACTGAGATCTCTGAGTACTTCTAAAGGATCCTGAAATAGATCCTTAGTTAGTTAGGTAACTAACTTACCCCTTTTTACTCTTCTTATAAAGTTTTGCAATCTTTTCAACTGGTAGCCCATATTTCTCAGAAATCTGAAATAATAAAAATAAAAGAAATATCACTAAAGATGAATGAGAACTATAAAAACATCTTACCTTACATAAGACATTAAAACAAATCTCTGCAAACTTTGACAGGATAGCTATACAGAAAAGTCTGACACAACCATATCATGCTTTCATTTAAGGATGACTTGGGGAGCAAGAATCCTGAACAGCTTAATCAAAACCCACAATTGCCTCCATCCAGAAACTCAGATACTATAGTTTTTATAGGCTGTGAGTCATCAGAACTGCCCCAGCATCTCCCAGTGCTCTGTTCAAGGAGTCAATGCTCTTCCCAGCTTCAGATTTTGCTAGGGAATTGAAATCTGATCTTTCTTTTGTTTCTTAATTTGATTTTTTGGGCTCATGGAAGCAAAGGCTTCTCCCACCAGGCAGAAGGCAGACACATGGCAACCCAACAGGAGCTGACTGACCAATGGAACAACAAAACCATACACATTTCTATTTCTCAAAGAGATTTCAAAGTTTATTAAGCTAACAGGATTCTCCATGGTGGTACTTTTGTCTGAAAAGTATCTTCAAGGTACCTGTTATTGTGGGAGGGCTGAGGGCCTCTTACATGGGACCAAGAGGCTTCTGTATTACTGGGAAGGTAACTAAGTCTAGTTATTACATTAGCAAAATGAAAACACTATTTGGCTCACAAAACATCATCTGAGTGTATATCTAAGATGAGATGTCACAGAGAAGTGTGTTATCAAGGTAAAATAAACTTCTTACTAAAGCAACTAAAGCAATAAAGCAGAAAATACAGTAAAACTTTAGAAGGAAGAACTACTTAGCTGACAAACTACCCATGCCAACAAGTACTTCACTGGGATGCTTTGGCATTGCTTTGTAGCTGTGTACTAGTAACTTTTTTGGATGTCTATTCTGCAGTGACTTTGTGGCGTGCTTATGGTGTCCCTGGGCCCTTCATCTGAGCCAGGTTTGCTTTCCAAATTATGATTTCTCTTTGAGGGAACAGGTCTCACAGTTCACACTTTAGAAGAGGATTGTCTCAAAAGGCAAAATAGTTACAGAAAAATTACTTTTTTTCTCCCCAGTGATTAATGTTCTGTGGTGTTCTACTGCCAAGCAAAGTAAGTTTCCAGCTCTTCACAAGTAAATGAAGTTGCACCTAAATAGCTGACTACTTATCTTCTGTATTAGATAACTGAAATGCATAATTAAAAATCCATTTAAAGACTGGCAAACATCAGGCATGGTAAAATCCTTTCTTTGTGTTTGTGTTCAGAGTTCTGTTGAGAAAAGGTATTTTAGGGAAGTGCATTAAAGCAATTATCACAAAAGAGAAAATTGAATGGATAAACTCAGCACTGAGGACAGATTCAAAGAGTTACATGTTGAACACCAAGCATGGCTCCCATCCAGACAGCCAAGATTCTCTGAAAGAGAGAATTAATTAGCCCATACTTTTCTATATCACCTATAATAGTATAATTATCATCTTAGGCCAGATGCAATTTTGTACTTAAAAACTATCCCTAATAATGCACAAGGGTATCAGCTTGACTGGCATTCTGTAGCATAACTCCAAGATTCTGAAGAACCAATAAAACTTCTCTTACACTGAAGACAGTGTCCTCTGACTATTAGCATACATCAGTGGCTAACAGAAAGGGGAATAACTGATGAGGTACAATAGACCCAGCCACTCCCTAAGTTTTTCACCTAAAAAGCTAAATTCAGGTGGTATTTGCTACTTCAGTTTCACTTGCACCAGCATGTTTCACTGTTCTTTCACTCTTTATTATCCTCTGGCTTTGCTTATCATGAACAGAATGACATCAGATAAACAATCTGGTGTTGAATTTTTGTATCTGTATTTCTGTTGTACCCCTAACTTTAAGTTTGCATGTAAAGCAATAATAAAAATGGCTCAATTTCATCAGACAGTTGAAAAAATCCTTTGTAACAGGCATTGGAGAAAAACTGGTAACCCAAAACTGCAGAAAGTGTCAAAAGTGTGTGTGAATGTGAGGAAACAATCTCCCTCTCTGGGTTGTTAACTCTGAAGCCCAGTGATATTGTAAAGATCAGCACTTGAAGACACTTTTCACTGACTCCATGCAAATAAACAAGCTGAGCAAAACATTTCTTGCCAAGGAGGCTTAATAGCAGCTAATATACAGCATTCTGCACATTCCAGCATAAATCTTCCCTAGGATATTTGGCATGCCTAACACTCATGCATTCCAAATGTTGCTCAAAGCAGTTTGGGACTCTGGGACATCACTTCCTACATAAACTATGAGAGGTTAGGCTGAGAAAGCCTTGCCTGTCACACTGCCTATGACAGGTGTAGGATTTATATAACTTGCAGGGATTAGTGAGCTTTGCAAAAGATTTCCAGCTGACTGAATAAGCACATTTCTCAGGAACCCCTGGGATTCAATCAATTATACCAAACAGCAAGCTGTGGAAGCAAGGCTTAAAGTGGGGGTATGGGAGAGCCTCCCCCTCATAGTCTCCAGTACAAATGTGCTAAGTCCTGCTGCAGAATTGGAGAAAGCATAGAGCGAGCATCTGCTAGGGCATCTCACTTAACACCCTCTTCTCTGAGTGTTTGCTGCCAGCACAGGGGACCACCACTTAACTGCCAACTTCCATACAGAACGACAGGATTTCTCACCTGAACCCAAGCAGGCTACGATAAATTTTAAAAAGGTGTCTTTATTTGGAGGAATATTTTTCCTTATCATCTCCACTGTCCATTTGTCGATCTTCTGAGAAGAGATTTCTTTCTCTTAGGATGCCTGAAGCAGTGTGACAGCCTTCCAAGTGGCACTGAAATAGTTGTCTGGTTGTCCCTTTGGGCTGCAGTCCCCTGGCACAGTAAGTTTGTCTGATTGCACAAGCCACCAGAAATGCTCTCTGCTGGAGTCAGGAAACCAGAAAGGGCAATATCTGGGTGGGTCCAGGCATGTAGGAAAACATCTTTGCCAGCTTATTTCTACTAAATGGTCTAGTCTGTTGTCCTACACTGGCTGGAAGACCACATATATAGACAGGTACCTAACAGCCTACCTAGCTCTATTGAACTAAGATGTTAGCTTTAAATTGTTGAAATACTTTGGGAAATGCTTGGATTTCCCAATTTGAACTGCCTTCTGTAATTTGAATAAATATGTAATTTTGCACAATGTAAGACTGAGGTACCTACTGGGATCCACAGTTATCCTGACTTTGGATCAGGCTGAAATCAGGGTGTAGAGCTGGTCAGTCACCACATGTGTGATGTTTTACTATTTTCCCTTGATCAAGACTGATTAGTGAAAACCAAACATCTAAGTCACTTCCTGAGACGTGCTGCATTTCTGAAACCCAAAACCTCTAGATATTTGCCAAAAGGAAGATATCTGAAAAGGAATCTAATTGTTAATTTGGAATCAGGGTATATGTGAGAAAAAAATAAACACAGGATCTGAGAAAACTGTATCATTAATAACAGAAAGTTAGGGGAAAAGTCAAAGATCAGGAATAGTAACTAACAAAAAGAAAAAAAATAAAATCCATAAAGAAGGAGAGTATGACTGAGGATCACTGGAGCTCCCTTTCAGATCTGGGGTTCTGTAATACTCAGAGGCTCAGTTCCTAAATTCTTAATACTGAGAACAGAATGAAGCATTTAAGATACACACAATTACAAAATTACATGATTTGCTGCAATGACTGTAGAGAGAATATTTAAGAATATGCAGTTTGACAGCTTTTTGGCATTGTTTTACCCACAATATCCTACCAAAGAGAATTAAAATTTTCTGAATGTGTTCCTTCCAGTGAACTGAGACATTTTACAACAGATCAGATTTCTCTGGTGCTGAAAACATGCCAATGAGTCAGCAGCTGCACTGACTGAGGTATGCAGAAACCCTTCCTGCTTCTGCACCAGCTTTGTTTTTGTTACATGGTGGCTGGAGAACAGGCATGGAGAGGCAGAGACTACTGGAGAAAAAATATTCATGCTAGCTTGAACAGTTATAGAAGGATTATAACATACTTTTACCTTCCATACAAAGACAAGATGAAATCATGTTGCAGCTTACCATGAATCAGACTGCTGCTGCCTCTTCAAGCAAAGCCTGGTTTTTGTTATCCATGTGCTCTGCCTGACAGCTGAGCTGCAGTCACAGCTAACAAACAGCATTGGCAGAAGCACAGTTAGGACATCCTTAGTGTGCCACTGACTCTTCTCAGAGATACCCTCATCTAAAGAGGCGCTTTAAGCAAGTTCACTAACCCACAAATCTTTTTCTGCCTTCTGCTACTGGCCAAATATTGACCAAATAACTCAATCTTTACTGCATTAAAAGTGTTCAGTAAATGCAACAAGATACTGTGACAGTTTTCAGAGGGTATAAATATACACACTTCTAGCACTTGGCTGAGTTCTCTAGGGGCACTTTCATCCATTTCCGTCTTTTCCCCTATACATAAACAAGGCTGGAAATCAACTCAGCATCCCACATGTCAATCTCACATTCCTCCACTGAAGCAGTGAGACACATGATTATTTCTTAACTCTTCCCTTAGCAAATTTCATGAGCCATCAGCTCATATAAACAGGATTAAACACGGAAATAGCAACTCTTATGATGACAGCTAATGGATAAAAAGCAAAAACTCAAAGAATGAGCAAAGAGGCAACTGGTAGGTAGGTCACGCTGTAAGTGAGGACTAGAGAAGGAATTTGAGATAATATATGAATTACAAGTCTTCACTGGCTCAGTACCTGCCTCCTACATGCTCAACAGCAATTGCACAAAGGCCATATGAAATTCCCACAGAAATGGAGCATCCTTGGGCCCCTTCTTGGAAACCAGGCTGGGAATGTACTGACAGGTATTACAGGAAAAGATTCAACAGGCTCTGAACTATCTGTTCAGAAAGTTTCAGAAAATTAAGCTTGCACCTCTGTCCTTCCCTGACACTGGTTAACTAGTGCTATTCCTCAAAGTTCAAGCCTCCAATAATTAGTTCTGAGATGCTGTTTAAACCCAGTAACTAGCTGAAAACACTGAATTAGGAAAATGCTAGCATTTCAGAACTGTGCTCCTGAAAGCCTTTAACAAATGCTTTAAATGCAGTTGAGAATAACTTCATCTTTATATTATGGTTTATCTAAATAATACGTGGAAAGCCTCAAAATTTTCTTGCCAAGAAAGACAAACAATGTGATGATATTGGATACTTACAGCTTCCATTAGCCCCTTTACTGTGGGTGATTTCAGCATCAAAGCATCAAACACCTCATCTGTCTCCTTCCTCACATACAAAAGCACTGAAATAGAAAAAAAAAATCAAACTCAGAGCAGGTTCAGTCAATTGCACAGATTAAATATCCCACACCGAATAGAAAAACAAATATTAATCCATGACAGATAAAATGAAGCACTGAAGATGGTTTGCACTTAAAGATGTACATTTAGTATCATCAGTGATCTAGACATGGACAATACATTGAAATGGACATAGACAATGCATTGAAAATTCAGCAAATTTAATCTACTGTGAAGAATATCTTCCAGAATCTAAATCTCCATTTACAGAAAGAAGCTAAAAAGCAGTGGGGCCTTGTCCCTTGGTTATAGGGCAAAACACACAATCTAGATCATCTTAAACCTCTGTCTTGGCTTGTACCTCTCCAGGTTTCATCTAAAAGGCTGGGAAAGAACTTCCTTTAGCCGTGCCTTCGGGAGCAAAATCAAAGAAAAGGTAAAGAAATAGTTGTCTCTGACATTACCATGCAGATGACTACAAATGGCCTGACCAGCATAAAAATAAACACTGGGGAAAATGAGTTCAAAGAGACTTTACAGGGAAGCCATTCAAGAGCACAGCTGGCAGGCAGGCACTTACCAGTGTGCCCACCTGCTTAGATACCCAAATACCATTTGTGTTCCTCTTCCTCCCTCAGATGTTAGCTGCTAGGTGTCCACAGGCACAGTGCCCTGCCCTCTCTAGCTTTTGTTTTCTTCACACTTGTACAGGTAAAAGGAGGAACCTTGCTATAACATGGCAGAATCAAACAGACAGGTGCAAAGCATATAAGCATACACACTAGAAAAGTATTTTAGGCATCATCTCACATAACTGATAAGTAGCAGGTTAAATAAGATGTTCTGCAATATATTTTGTTTCCTATATTTTGTGTCTTTTCAAATAGCACTGCTGCACAAACACACATGCACTGTGATGTCTGTGTGACAATTACATTGATAACCTTTTTTTTTTTTTGGTAGATAGAAAAGATAATATTTTGAAACTACAAATTTTTGTGGTCCAAGAGATATCTTCACCATGTAACTCAATAGATGACTCTCTCATTTGTGGAGAATTGTAGCTTCTTTGCCCAGGTTTTGAAGTGACTGGAAAGAAATAATGGGTAGCTCTGTCCCTTCACGTGGCCTACAAACCAAATATGCAGGTCAATATTGGGTTTTTTGCATCTTCAATTCAGAAATATGAGCCACAAAACTGCTACCACAACATGCAGAGTCACATCCTTTTCACTTATATTTTGGCTACTCTTTGGGGCCTGGCTTTTTTAAAACATCCTTTTAATGGAGTTAGAAGCTGAGTCAACTTTGGGTCACAATGTAAACTGTCAAAATGTAAAAGAAAAAAAAAAAATCCACACCAGGAGTTAAATTTTGCCATGCCTGATATGTTTAATTGCATGAACAAGCACTCACTCAATGGGCTAATTTTACCAGTACTAACACCTTTATATTAATTTAGTAAACATTTTCCTTGTGACTAGAGGGTTGTCCTGTAACTCCTGGCTTTACAAACATCTGGAGCTCTGCCAGCCTTAACAATTACAAATATATCTGAGAGGAGAAAAAAAAAATCACTTGGTTCAAGGTTAAACTTGGGTACATTACAAAATCCCAGTGCTGAGCTTTACATCTCTGTTGTGCCTGGTGTGCCAGGCAACATTATACACACAGAGAGACAGGATGAGTAAGCACATGGAGGGTTGTTAGGTTTTTCTTTACTCTGACAAGTGTGAAACTCCTGGCTCTGATTCAGTAGAGCACTTTTCCACAAATGACTTGTGGTGACAGTGATGCCTTAGGAAGTCCCTGTCTCATCCTTGCCCTTGCACTCTCTTATTCTCGTTTGTCGCAACAAATTTTCCTGGATGACAAACTCTCTCAAACAGCACATGTGAGTGAAAAAACAGCCCTTTTTTTGAGTTATTCTCCAAACAGATCAGATAGATCCCTGCCTCAGTGTACAGTGCAGCCCCACAAGCTTTCATGCTGGCAGAGCAGCAGAGATGGCTGGGCAGAGGGCACAGTTAGAGGGGAGGGAAAAGGGCTGCAAAGGCTCCTCTGGGCTCAGCAGCAGCATTGCCACTACATGACTGTGACCATGTAATACAACTCATGTCCTCTGATCCTAATGTCATCACATTCACAGCATCTAGATGGGATCTCTCTAACAGTACAAATTACAAGATTTGAAGGGGAACAAGGAGGAAATCTTGTACAAGGAAATGAGCCATTGTTGCCTGAAAGTTACAAGATAAATCCAAATTTGTCTGATCTACTCCCTGGTCTTAGTCCTTAACCTTCTTGCCAGCACTGAAAACTACTACAGACCTTAATATTCTTTAGATGTTAACAAGAATTGCAAAAGATGAGGGGAGATAAATTTGTCTTTAGTTACTTAAGAAATAGCCCCAACAAACCAAATTGCAGAGGGGCAAACAGCCTTTGCTCAAGACAACGGATGTTTTTGCACCAGTGAGACTTTTGGAAGCCAGGCCACCGAATTGAGGATTATGTGTGAATGCAGAAGAACAATGGTAGATACCTCTTTTAAAATTGTTAACAACAACATATATGAGGAAAAATGAAACTAAGGACACAATGAGTCAGTAAGACTTGGGGCATTAGGAAGGTCTGAGCCTGGGCACTACCAGTGCTGTGACTGGCACCCTACGAACAATGACTACAGTCTCTTTTAAGTAGTCTCTGGATAAAGATGCGGTACATCTTAGTCAAGGAAAGAAGGGTTGGTAGCTGTAATTTAGCTTTCCTTTCTCACATTTGGAGTTTTTGTTATTGCCCAGGCACAAATTCCCTTGGATGGCTCTCAACTCCCTGATTGTTATGAATCCAAAACGTTTCAGAGTAGTTTAACATGACTTTCCTAAGAGAAAAAAAAGCTACACAAAAAAATTACTTTCTTGAAACTGAGAACTACAGGACTGGAAATCACCTGATCTATAATTCAGCTGCTGGATTTATAATTAATGGGAAACTCCCTATGAAAGCTGAAAGGAAAAGTGATTTGAAAACTTACTGAGAACTCAAAACAGGAAAAAACCAAGTCTAGCCAAGTAACTAGCTGTGATGCACATTTAGTACAGATTAACATACTTCACATTTCTGTGTTGGGCACTTGGACTTCCCTGAGAGGTCAAGGAGATGAAAGAATAATTCAAAAAGAGGCAGCTACCTGAGTGAGAATATGAACCATGTTTGCAAATCCCTTCAGACCTGTTCTTTTGAAGGTTGCCCCTTAATATTTTTACTTCCACCAGATAGTGTTACAAGTAGGTCCAGAGGGGGGAAGTCACACACTTCCACTTCAGTCCTTCAGTGGAGCTTGGACACCTCACTGGCTGCTATTTACCTGCACTTCTCTGCTAATAAGACACCTTGAGATTACACTGCTTTTAATGCATATTTTAACGTACATTTTCACATATCAGACCTGCTCCCTCTCAAACATTACACCTGCACTCCATCTACACCTGCTTTCTAGGAGTGATTGATTCTGCTGTACCAAATAAATCTTGAGAAAAGAAGCTTCTAATATGGCAACGCTGGGGGAAAAAAACAAAACATTTTAATACCCAGTGAATTCTCTGGCAAAGACAGAGTTCTCAAATGGGTAGATTCAGCTGAGCTGCACACCATCAGCATGATCCCAGATGCAAGGTTCCGGATGGCAGGAAGTTCACCAGGGCAAAGGCCACACTGGAAAAGCCTTGGCCTCCAGCCAGCATAGTCCAAGATGAGAGAAACACTGAACAGGAAGGGGATGTGAAGAGAGTATCCTCCAGCTTCTCTCGTTCTGTGCCTCTCCTGGATTTAATCACTTTACATAGTTTTGTCACCAGCTAAATTTTCTTTTCTTTCTAATCTTACCTTTGACATGCTTGCAAGTCCTGAATGATATCAAAACAACTAACCACAGCAAAGGACAGAAATAATCAAAGCAAACCAATACCTCCTTGCAGGCAACTTCCTAGGCTTCCAGCTGGGAAACCCAGGTGAAATTGTAGGAAATGACAGCTAATTATGTAGCCCTCATGGCTGTCATCTTCTGCTTGACAGAGCCCTGATAATGTGAATTTAGCCAAGGTCTTGAGTCAATCAAATGCAAGTCTATGGTCAGTGCTAACCTCACATATTAAATTTAAGATTTAACTAAAATAACCATATGTTCACATTTATTTAAAGAAGGTATCAGTCTCCATCCTATAATCTTCTATGCCTCCCCTGGTTCAAGCAGACCACCCTAACCGACAGAGAAACTTTGCAAATGTGGGCTTGTGGGAAGTAATTTCTATAAAGTTCAACTGCAACTGTAATAATACCCACCTAGGCAGTAAAGACAGTTAAGGGAAACAAACCCTTAAACAATTCAGTTACATCTTCTGGAAGATGTCTCTCCATGTCTTATATTTCTAATAAGGTAGGAAATTTCTGATTTTATTCCACCCAATCTAAGTCTGCAGTCAGCAGGAGCTTGCCTGTTAAGGTCTCTGCATTTAACCCCGTGCATCTTGCATATTTGCTTGTGATTGCAGATAGAACAGAAAAGATGAGCAGAAGTTAAAAATAGACCATCACAGATTTTGCTACTGGAACTTTCATAAACTTTGTAGCTTGGCCAAGAACCAAGAAACTTCCTGAGTTTTTTCTATACACTTCTCTCCCGATCCCTTCTTGAGAAAGCACAGTCCTTTTTTTTTTTAAAGTAATTTTTAGCATTTGTTAAAATGCCTCCTTATAGACTGCAGATGCAAAGATCTCTTCTTCCATCTACCCATATTTGCAGTAGCATCCTACAACTGACTTTGTCCAAACCACACCTGCCCTTCCCACCTTGAGGGTTTGAGTCCCACAGAATGATTTTTAACTGCTAAGAATTGATTGTTACCTCTTTTCAGACCTTCTTCTTTGATTTGTTTCAAAGGGGAAGGACCAAACTCCTCCTCCACAGGCCGGAACATCCTTTTGACCAGGACACTGCTACTAGAATACACAAAACAGGGACCACCACAGTAAAACTGTGCTCACAGCAGAAGAGGAGACAACTTTGTACTCTGGCAAAAACACTCACTAGCTGCTCAAGTAGCACCAAAAGCAGAAACTGCAAGGACTTAGCTTTTGATGCTTATCTGAATTATCCAGGCCTCTTAAAATTGCCAAGACTGACTGGCTGGGACAGGTGACAGGAAAACACGTTCCGATGTTACACGCTAATTTGAAAGCCCCAAAGGCCCTTAACTGTTTGAGGGAAGGGGGGTGGTTATTGCTTGATGCAATAAATCCCTTTGTTTCTCAAATTCCACTGTAAGCCTTATGAAGAGCATTAGTTTTTAAAAAGTATAAAAAGGGCTCATGTTTTCCATTCAGTGTTGACTGCAGGTGCTTGGCCAGTCCCTACCACAGGTCAATTTTTGCAGGTTTATGGCAGTGTAGTTATGTTACTCCATAATCTCAGATTTGAGGGATTCAAGCAACTTACAAAAGTATGGGGCTGACACATAATGCAGGCTGAAGTTCAGCAGCCCATATTAAAACCCTTATTTCATGGCACCTCTAACTATTAGAGGGACTTTCATCAATCCTTGCAGTCCCTCCAAAGTCAGAGAGGGGGTTCTCCCATTTCCAACCTTTTTCCTTCCCAGCTTCTCCCTTCTCTTTCTGTCTTTCTCTTCTGACACTTGGCCATTCTCTCTGCAGTTCCTGTATTTGTTGCATACACGTGTGCTCTGCTAAACAGCTTTCAGGAATGTAGTAAAGTTCAGTGCTTCAACAAAAAATTCTCGGTTTTTAAATTATTTGAGAACCCTTATGCTTACATAGATGGCACTTCACTGTCAAATATATTGTCCTCTCCCTGTATCAAACCTTAGGGCTCTTTTACTTGGAAATGTATTAAAATACAGACATAAAAAGCAAACAGTTTACATAGGAAAATATGAGGGAATGGGGAGAAAGGGGTCAGTTTTATATGATTTCGTATTTTGTATCAACTTTAAACTGTTTAACTGTTTAACAGTTTAAACTGTTAACTGCAAAGCTTGAGAAACAAAAAATATCTTACCCTTCTCTCTCGTCATCTGTATTATAGTAAACCTAGAAGGATGGAAATAGAAATCAATTACTCCCAAAAATCAGACACTTGCTTAACAGAATAACTTCAAAAGGGAGAAAAGACAAGTGTTTTGCACTTTGTCATACATTAAAAATCCTTTTCCTCCTATAAAACACAAACCTCTAGTTCTAACTGTTATCTGGAAGAACTATGGCTTGGAGAAAATGCTGTTGAATATCATATACTGGAAATATATTAAAGTTTATTTGAGCAATATTACCCTGTTCCCTGCTTTATATCATTTTCCCAATTATTTTACAATCCTCTTAATCAGATTGCTACTCACCTAAATAACCCCTAATACAGTTTAAGCCACAACACTCAAAAGCTTTTGTATGTATTTAATACTGTCTGAAAATCTAATTAAACTATAAAGAATAAGATTAAACTACAGGCCTAAAGGAAATAAAATTACTAAAAGTACAGCTGAACATTTTTTGCACAGCCTGTGGGCAGAAGCCCAAGCTCAGTTTTGTGTAAATACACGTAGCTCAGAGTCACCGGGACCGAATTTACAACAGCAGCAAATGAAGCTGACAGTAGCAGGGGAGGTATAAAATCAGTCTGTTGTCCAACACTTCACAGAACAGTCAACCAAACTCCTCACAACGTGCCCACACTGCAGGTCTGCACCAAGTGCACCAGCCCTGCAGCTGCTGAGCTGCGGTGCAAGGGCAGGTCAGAGGCACAGGGCACCGCAGCCACTCCTGCAGGGCAGGGCAGGGCAGGGCAGGTCTCCAGCACTGAGGCTGGCAAGACACTCAGAGCACACTCGACTCTCACTGGGAGCCTTCACTTCTGAATCTGTGCACTGAAAATAGGTCAGAGGTGTGTGTGTGCAAAGCCGAGGTCTGTAACTGTAAGTTACAGCAATAAAAAACATGGCTGAACGTTGCCTAAGAGCTAGGAAATGGGGATATCTTCCAGTTAGTTCAGAAAATTATTTACAAGATTATATATACTAAGGAATGTTTCCACCATCTCCTGTTTTGAAACAAATCCACATTTTGGTTTGAAAGCCATGAGGACAGAAGGTACCCAATACTGACATGTGAGTGGGCGTCTTTCCAATTTGGGAGAGTAAGCCAGTGACAGCTGTGATTACAACGTCTGTGCTCTTTGTGCTTTGCTCAACCACAATTCTCACTGCTTCAAAATAATTAATAATTCCAATATTCGGTTTCATATAATCTTCATCATTTTAGTATTTTTCAGCAAGATGCATATTAAATTTCCTAACCAACTATTTGTCTTTATAAACACATGCATAATGGTTTAATTCTACTCCCTGAGATGCTAATATATAACATATTCATAGTAAAAAAGTTGTCAGAGCTGACCTTCCAATTCAGATTTTCAACTTCCCAGCAGGTGATAAAATAGAAAGGAGCCAAGTCACGAAAGACTTCCTGATGATCATAGCTGCCAATACTGAGTATTTACATTAGTACGATAGAGTTTTACTCAGAAGAGTGAAAATATTTTTTTCAAGGAATTTCCAGATCTCTAGGTGATGCCAACAGAAAATGGATAGTGGTGTTTAGTGACCCTACTCTTGATGTTTCTACACGTGTAAGAGCTTGGTCTTTGTTTTCAGCTGTGACAGGGAGGGGGATCTCTGCTACCACAAGGTGGCACTTCATTTCACCAAGCCAAAGACTACACTCAAATCCAGATTGTGTTTCAGTCACAATCAATGTTATACTTAAAAGCAGAAGAATGACAGAACTGTAACAAAACCAAACTAGTCAGTTGTCAAAGAAGTATAAACTCCTTTGCACCCAGAACTCAGAAAGGTACTTGGCTCTTGTAAGGGCTTCTATAAGTGATGTGCCAAAACTGCATTTACCAAAATGAGAGCCGAAACAAGTGGCCTCCAGGAACAGCAATTTATTCCCTAAAACCTGCCCCAGAGCAGAGGCAGCCAGGTGGCAAGTGGGCACCTGCTCACCTCATTATTTCCTACCTGTCCAGTTCTTTGTAGGTTTCCAAAGTGAACATCCGGTATGAAGAGAACTGGCTGGGAATCCAGGTCAGCCATTGTTTTGAAGAAGGTGATATCACTCTTTTTCTGCAGAGGGAGTGCACTCAACTTCCCTTCAGCTGCTAGGTGGATCACAAAGCACAGAGTTGTGAAAGGAGGCATGTTCAGCCTGACTTAGCCCCAGACCAGAAAGGCCCACTTCACTCACCATTATTACACGATGCTTGGGATGCCTGGCCTTTGCCTTTCTTCCTGTTCTGCTTTCTCTCTTCATCTCGGATTTTCCTTTCTGCTCCCTGATGCAAAAAAGACAACCCACAGATATTACCCAAAGAGGAACCACTGTGAGCATTGTACTTTGCAATGCCTGGAAATACGCATCAGACACACAGAAATGCTAAAAGAGAAACTGGTTATTTCATTGAAGACAGATCTGCCCAGTCTGTTGGAAAGGTACCAGGCTTTGCATGGATTGCCTGTGCCTGAGACTCATCCAGTATCTACCAGGGCTGCAGACAGCAAGGGAAACATATCCACATGTTGGTTTGGAGGAGTCAGGACAGGCAGTGTGCAGTCTGTAGCAGGACTGATGCCAGCACAACTTGTGCAAAAGGCATCCCCAGCCCAGAGGCTGCAATGGACAGAGTGCTCAGGCCAAACATTTTGTGTATGTAATGGCATAAAACACCTGCAGGATCACGATCATTTTACATAATGCCTGTGCTGAGGTCTTCCCTAAACTCTCCTCCACCCAGGAGAAGCTCTCCAGAAATAGGAAAGCAATGTAGCACTGCCCTGTTAGGCACCAGGAACTCCTGGGAAGTTGCAGGCTTCTGTAATGTAAATACACTCTCAACAAGTTTAAAAAATAAAACTTGTTATTGACATAAAAAGCAGCAACACCTCCTTTGAAGTTCTCCTAATTTACTTTATAAATAATACCTATCACATTGTGACGGGTAACGAAGATCCATATGCTCCCAGACAGTTGGCATGGAAGATTACAGAATTTTTTTCCAAATTAAAATTAGAGGTTTCTTGAATAGAAAGGGAGAGGAGGAACATAAGGAAAGCAAAAAACACCCACTCAAGATGGCAAAATTCACACATGAGTCAATGAACCAAGTTTAGAAATAGTGCAAGGAAAGATGTACTCCTGGCTGTGATCTATCAGTAGATTTCCAGAGGCTGAAAAATCTGGAGGAAGAAATAACTCTTTAGGAAAACATGAATGTGTCAAACAGAAACACTGCCTCCAGACCAGGTCCCAGTCCAGTTGTCATTCACCAACCTCAACCACAGAAGCCAAGGGATTCAGAGTTGTGCACTTATCAAAATTGTTTCTAGAGGTACTTTTGTAACCTTTAATGACACCTGTTCTTTCTAAGAAAGGAGCAAAAATACACATCACAGCCATTGTTTATGTCTCCATACATTTCTGTCACAAAAAGCACATCCTGAGAAACCTGTGCTGGACAAAGAGCTCTGCCAGGCAGCCACAGCCCTAGCTACCACATGGTGCTGCCACTCTGCTGCTCACAGGGAACGGGATGAACCACCAAAGTATTTCATACACAGCAGCAAGTGTGAGTTTCCTCTCAGGAAAGCAGAAACTGAGGAGGACTTAGCCTTTTATACATAATAAAAAAATATGTTTTACTGATTTTCTGTAATATTCTTTGTAACCATGAACTTGGTGACGCTTGACAGCTTTCTCTTCATTCATTCATTCAAAGCAACACACTCCAAGATCTCTGGGGTGCAGGCAGTCATTCCCATCCACCAGTGTTGATTTGTGCCACAGCCACTTCCCAAATGTGGCAACTGCAATACCCACAAAACTACCTACCAACCCTTTTGAGCTTTGAGCAGCCCACACAGCACATGGCAGGGGCCAGCTAAGCCTACAGGATGGATGTCACAGTCACAGGGACAAGATCACAAAATGATTTTTGCATACTAGAGTATTTCTGCTGCATTGTTTTGACAGCTGAGCCATCTGATACATATCTAATAAACCACAGTTTGCACATCTCTTCAGGACAGAAGAAATTACCCTCCAACAGGGGACTATAAACTATGCTGAGACCAGTGAAATGATGAAAAGAGTTCATAATTTTTCCATTGATATCTGGGCTTTGTATAAATGCAAGGAGTACTTCTGCTACTAATCATTAACAAAATGCAGCCTACAAATTTTAGCTGATTCAAAGTGTTTTCTTCCTAATCCTTCAACTCATTTAAACTGAAGTCTTGCACTCTAGCTCCAGCCTGACAAAGCCCTTGCCCTCATAAGGACCACTCCCATCACCACTCTGATGCTCATGTGCACACTTGCTCCTAGTTCCAGGCTAAAGCATTCCACATCTCATTGGGCAAGCACATAGACATCAGCTGCCTTCTCTCCAAAGCTGAAGATTAACAGGCAATTAGAGTTGCTCAACACACTATGACAGTCCATCTTCTCTATGATGTTCCACACCAAAAACAAGGACGCAAGAACTGCACATATTCTAAAGAACATGTATTTTTTCAGGTCAAACAAAACTGGATTAATTTATTTTATAGTGGATGAATATTATGGTATTTGTCAAGTTTTACTTTCTTTTCAGCAAAGATAATCACATATAGAAAATCAAGTAGCTCTGAAGTCCCAGTTCTTTCATACACAGTGGCTAAAGCATTGTGCAATATATAAATATAAATATGCCTGGTAGCAATATATAAATATAAATAGGTCTGGTTTCCCTGACAACCTACTTAAGGAATAAAAATTATATATTCTTATAATGCAGCATCAGTGATCTGCACATGATAAAAAGACTGCAAGGCAGAGAATTAGCACTGACAAAACAAGATGTGGACTGTAATAAATTCTTTGAAGATTGCCTACTGAAAAACAAACATGGACAAAAGATTGGAGGACAAATAGGAAGTATGATAAAGTTAGATTTGTTAAGTAACATTTACAGCCTTTGCAGCACTTATCTCCATACATTTATGTCACAAAGCACATTCTGGACATGAGTTGGTGTTGCTCTCAAGTTTATATGTCAACTAATATTAAAATCAAGGAATTGCCAGAAAAAATACTAAATATATATATATATATATATATATATATATATGTACCATTTAGCTAAATGCAGTTTTATTTCTTCAAATGTAACTCTTTACACAACAGCTATGCTGTGTTGCAGCTATAAGACAATAATTTGTCAGCGAATGTTCTTAAAAACTGCACACCTCCACCTGTGATTTATTTAAGTGAACATACAAATACACCCACTGGTCTTAAAGAGGCACCATCATTACAGAAATAAACATTTTTGATAACACTTCAGGCACAGAAACATTTTTTTCTGCCATGTTCCAGAATTAGAAACATTTCATACTTAGGGAGGAGGAATTTACTGTACAGTTCCAGTAGGCCAGGTGATTGTAATAAATCAGGTATACTTTTCTCATCAGCTTCTCTTTGAGGCTGTCAGATTGGGGCATAACAGTACAGTTCACACTTTCCGAATATATAAAGATCATTATATGATTGCTGGTGTTTCTTTTATGTCCCTATAGTACCTCTTCAATTCATCATGACAAGGGGGTAAGCAATAAGTAATAGTCTCAGCTTCATAGCCTTTCCAAGGAGGCAGCAAGCTTTGTCCATGTCACTGAGGGGAGAGTCACAGGCTAACAAGAGAAATTGAATTATTTAGCACCACCTTGACCAGAGCTAGGTGTTTATTTTGACATCTTGGAAAGATGAGGATACCCAGCCACATCAGCTACCTTCCTCTGAGCACGATGAATTTTGCCAGTGCCACCTGCAAGTGGAAATTCTCCAAACATTTATTTACTTAGAAAAGCATCCTGTGACAAAGGGATGTTGGTAAAGATCTGACAGCATACGTTTCAGAAGTAAGAATTCATGTCTTACCAAGTGCCAATTAGCACAAACTGCCATGTGCATTGACATTGATAATTTTTACTTGCTCAAGTAATTTTCACACCTGCATTAACTTAAAAAGCTCTACATGTGTGCATACATTTATATTAAGCACATATATAGCCTATTATCAATACTCTTGAGCCCTTCGGTTCCCACTTCCAATACATTTTTGATGTGTATAGCACTTTAACTACCCTGTGATCTTTCTGTCTACTTTGAGACAATTTTGATTAATAGACTCAACATTCATTTCCTGCATTTTTCATCTAGATATTTGAAGCTCCAATTAAGCTAATAGATGCAATGAACATGTATTATTCAAAACTCCACCAGTTGTATCTATGGGTCACCCGTGATGAGTCTGTGCTCTGAATTTCCTTCCTTTTTTAAAATAATTCAAGTTTTTCTAATTGCTCTTCAGAAATAGGTAGATGAAAACTACTTACTTTGATATTTACTGAGCTGTTAAGATCCAGTTGTAGCTTCAAATCTCTCAGTATTTGACATTCAAAGTTACAATTGAAAGCATAGCATTTTGGCTGCAAGAAGACCTCAGTGCATACATTTACATTCATTACTTCCAAAGATTTTCCTCCACTAACACAACTGACTGATCAGCCCTCAAGATGTCGTTGTCAAAACAGCAACAAGGGAATTAACTGAAAAGGGGGAAGGAGCAGCAACACAGAGACCTGAAACAGTTGAACTCTTACCCTTTCCATTAAAAAGTTAATGTTATGTTTTGCCTGGGGCATGGCCTTTTGTCTTTGTATTCCCACCTGTAGGATGGTAAGACTAATTTGGATAAATTTCCAAGTCACTTAAATAGATGTAGGCTTCTGAATCCCTGAACCTTGACTAGAATCCAGGCATCAGCTCCCCTATGAAAGATGTTTCTCAGCATGGAGAAAGTCACCAGCTGGCAGATGCTGAACAAAACTGAAAAGTGGTCACACTCTCATTGAAGAATCATCACCGATATTTCTGAGCAACTGTTTCTACATGGTGATATACACTGCTGACCATGACACTGTCTAATTCATTCAGGCATGACCTATGTCTGGGTGCTAAAACATCTTACTAGTTTCCACATAGGAGCAGTCATACCTACAGCAAAAAAACAAAATTTTGCTAAAGAAGGTGTGAACACAACAAAAAATAGTTACTGAATTACAAAATGGGAATGGCTAATATATTTTTTGTATTTTACTTTTGATAAGAAAATCTCAGCAACATAACAGCTTCTAAAATAACTGTAAGCAAAGCAGGGAGAAAACCCCTCAGCTGTGTCACTGGAATTTGCTGGTTTCCACTGCATTATAAACGGGAGCTTAGCAGGCCCTTACTGAAAAATGCATTTTTCTGTCAGAGAAATGGACATGAAGTTTACCTGCTATCTATCCTGGCTGTCAGAAGGGATGACATCAGCAGACTGCCACTTATGTAAGCCTGTGATCAGCACTGACCCTCCAAATAGAGATATTTGCATTTGCACTTCCTATTACTTTTTGATATTCCAGAATCATGACCTATAACATGCTGTGCTCAAACAGTCCAACTATTGCTCACAAGCTGAGGAATCAGGGCCAAAAAGGCTGCTAAGCAGTAAAATAATTACATGATAATCAGATTTGTGATATAGCTGGTCCAAATGCTATGATGAAATATATACAATTCTTCATACAATTTTTGAATACAATTCTTTAAGGAAAGAAACAGCATTTAATTAGGTCTAAAATACAGCAACAATAAACTGCCTAACAAGATGCCTCCTTCATGCATGGTAACTGTGCTTTGCACTTACCTTGTCACAAAACACCTTGATCTGGCAGTAGGCTCGGTGGATAGGTTTATTGCTGCGGTTGTTGTAGCTGTAAGTATCGATCTGAATCATCAAAGGAAGCCCTTTTACTCCTTTTTGTGAGGAGAAGTCTGTGCTCAAGCAATTCACTGTGATGAAAATCTGTGTGCCAGAGAGATTACTTTTTAAAATGTGATGCAAACAACAATTAAACTTCCAGAAATACATGGCAAGAAATGGGAAAATAAAAAAGTTTTAATTCAGCTATGATGCACGCTCTGGCAATTCATGCATTTATCCTCCACTTCTGTCCAGCAAAGATACTTTAATGCTAGGAAGAAGAGCAAACTGGAAAACCATATATTAGTGCTTCAGTTTGGATCAGAAGTTCACATTTGAGGTGAATAATTTGGTTCTCCCAACTTACCGTGCTTTGGTTCACACCAGAGCTCAGAATACATGAACTGGATTCTTTCTATGTTCCAGGAGCACTCAGATCCTCCAGCTGCTCACAGTTGCTAAATTCATGGGAACTGACTAAAGATAATCTGAGATAAAACCTCCTAAAATGTGCCTCATGTGGATGTCAGGATGTCAGCCCTTACATGTTTCACTCTACAGCCCTGCTCTATCTGTTTGCACTATTTGTTGATACAGATCACCTTGCTTCACCCTTTCCAGCTGCCTTAGGTATGGCTTGATCATCTGACAGCTCATTCAAATTTAGTGGGACAAAGATAAACTCTACTCCTTTTTTTATTCTAAAAATTTTCTTCACACCCTCATTGATACTACTGCTTTCTCCATCCCATCAATAGATTCCCGTGTGTGTCACTTTAAGGCTCCTTCACAGTCTTTCCTCAGTTTTGAAGATGCATCTCACCCTGTCTTTCAAACTGGGAAGGAATTTTTCAAATATTCATAAAACTACTCCCTACCTCTTCTCAGAAGTTCTCTTTGTTACACAGCATCCATGTAACTTGACATTGCATTGAAAGAGTCACAGAATCATCTGAGCTGGAAGGGACTCAGAAGCATCATCGGGCCCAGCTCTTAATGGCCCATCCAGAGATGGAAACCACAACCTTGGCATTAACCAACTGAGCTGGCAAGTCCCCTGCTTGCCTGCTTCAGAAATTCATCTCTTGCTCTCCTTCGACAACAAAAGCTTACAACTTGATAGTCACTAATCATCTCCATCTCGTTAACTCAGTTGGCACCATGGTGTGTGTCCTCTATACAGGACCTGGGAGAAGGGTTTCTCACCAAAGTCTTCCAAAGACTATTCTGATGTAAAGCAAACATATGAACTGAAATATCACCAATAGCTTTCAGTCAGGATGGTATGGATAAAATTCAAGACAAGAAACTAGAGTAAAAATCTCATTTTCAACCCAGTGAAGAATATTGCATTACATAATAATTTGGGGCAATTGTGTATTAACCCGATTCTACTTTTCACTTGCCCTTAGTTTAAAAGCAACAACAAAACACCAAACAAAACAAAACCCCGAAAGTGTGAAGCAAGGAAAAGGACTGAGAAAACCAGCAGTACATACTCCTGAACCAGGAGGATGTAAAACCTGCTCCAGAAGAATAAGGACACTCAGGAAAGAAGAGCTCTCAAACTGGCTTCTCAAACACACCTGATGCACACCTCACCAGGCAGAGGAGAGGGCAGCAGGCCCCTGGGGTCTGGGAGGATTCCTGAAGGAAGAGCATGAAGGAAGAGCATGAAGGACATCCCCCCTCCTCCCCCTCCAGTCTACAAACAGGGAAAATAAACCAACAGGTGAGTGAACAGAATGCAACATCCCTAAGAAAGACAGCTGAAAATAAAGAAGGGCTCCAGCAGGGCTGGTGGGGGATACTTTACCCTCCTGGCTGAAGTTAACATTACAGTCAGGGTCTTTATGATGGAGCCAGAGCAGCTTGTTTGCCCGACTGAGCTAATGGCCCCTCCTCTCTGCCTCTGATTGTATCACAGAGCTGCATTTACAAATGAAATAGTTGAACTTTAACTGCGGAGAAAAGAGGGAGGCAGGGAAAGGCCCTAGGTGAAACTCTGATTTTGAAGCTGATAGCGTTATTTCTGTTTCAAATTACAAGTCGATCTCCTCCAGCTCCAAAGATATGCGTAGACACAAGGAATACACCTTTGAAATATGACAGCCTGAATTTTCATTTGCCTTCAGAATCATTTATAGTGTCAGGGCAATGGTTTAAAGTGTGTGTGAACACACAGCAGTGGAACGAAGTCTAGCATAAAACAGAATCTGGTCTCCCTATATTTTAGCCCATACTTCTGCACAGGGATTTTCCAAAACATACGTTCAAGTGTGAGAAGACATGCAGGCTTTGCACCTACCTAGCAGCTTGCACTTCTTCCACCCTTACTGCACACTCAGCTGAGAAGCAAAAAAGATCTTGTCCCACCGTAATCAACTACAAACACTGTGTCATCAACTACATACACTATGTCATCTTTTTCACTGCCTCCACAATCAGAGAGCAGAGCAGGAACAGCTGGAGAAGACAGACTTCATGGTTTCAAGAGTCCCCATACAGCAATAACAGATTATTCAGCATGAATAATAGATAGATGCTGTAAGACTCAATATCTTGTCCTGACACTGTAATACATCAGGATCTCTCTGAGGAGCAATGACTGTAAATTCATGCACATGAAGTGTACTACACTTTCTGTCATATCATTTGCACCTCACCGATAGATGGATTAGAATTAACATAGATCATTGATATTGGAGAAATTTTCTGCCTCCATGCAATGTTCTATTAGCTTTCCTGTAAAGCATCACACTGACTTTGAATTTGGAAAACACTGGGGTGTATAGAGGGAAAGAGAAGAGGACATAGGTTCTGTTATTTATTTTACAGGGGTTTTTTTCTTTGCATGATTAAAGATTTGCAGTGCAGCAGGCTGCTATGGTGAAGAGGACCTGAAGAAACATCTGGACAGTCCCCTTCTCTCTCCCCTGGTCTGATCAGAAACTACCTCCCCAAAGCAGTGACCTGCTCTGAGCAGCACTGATTTCAGCCATTTGTCCAAACACATCCTGTTTTGCCTTTGCAGCTCTCACCTTCCCCCTCCTGTTATGGACCTGCTGTCCATAATGCATGTACTCCCACTCTCGATGAGACAAGGGGCAAAACGACTCCATGGGTAGCCACAAAAAAAATCTTTTAACTTTTCTTAGAAGATGCCCAGATTTAAGATCTCCTTTGCGGTGGTATTTTGCATAGTAGAATTAACATCATTAGAAAATGTAGAGTTAAGTAGAAATGACAGTAGCAGGAAGAGAAATCAGTCTCCCTCTCAAGCCCTGTCTACACTTGTCTTAGAATTATATTAATAAAATTTAGTGTGATTGTACCTAAATTCAAATACTTTTTTTTTTCCTGTGCAAACTGGATTTTAGTAATGTTTTGCTATCTGGAACACATTGTATAATTGTCATTATAGTGATGTCTTTTTTTTTAATGTCAGCATATCTTAGAGCAATTAATGGCAGAGTTCCACCCATCTAGTCTCCAGCTCAGGCATGCCATTGGCAATTAAATACTAATTTAGAGAAACATCTGGTGCTGAGAAAGTTTCACAAGCGGCCCAAGATAACGGCAGCTCTTCTATTTGTTATAGAGTATATCTAGAAAAAACATTCTGTCTTTTGGGGACTACTCCTCCACGATGTAGCTGCTATTATGAGAATTACTGTTTGTTAAATACTGCAGCATAATTAGGGATGTACAAGACACAAACACAGTAAGCTGCCTTAAGGGAAAGCAAGGCTCAGAAGTGCATTTCCCTTTTTATCATTTAATTCAGCCAACATGACTCTTGCTGCGGTCTCTCAGCTTATACACTAAAGGTCTACAGCTACGAAACTTCTAATATAAGTCTTTTATTACTATTTACATTTCTGGCTCCCATTGTCTCAGAAATTGCCAAGGGCAGAAGGGAGGCACAAAATAAGAAACTTAAAGCAATTTCTCTACTGAATACTGGCAATACATAGAACCTGGGTGACGGGTCTCTTAAAAGTCTGCTGTAAAAGGTTCCTCCCTCCGGACTTGTAACAACAAAGAGTTAACTGACTCTCAAATGACTAACATCCATCCCATCATTCCTCACATACACAGAAAGTGTGGGTTTATAGTTTCTCCTACCAGCCGTTACCTTATAAATCCCACACAAAGGTAAGACCTTTGTTTTATTTCAATACAAATGTCTCCAGCAAATGTTTACACTACTCTTTTGAAGCTTCCTCAACCCACACCACACCCCGGCAACTACATAAAAATGCCATTTGCTTTGAATCCCAGATGCATACTTAGCAAGCCATTTGTATACACTGAATTTCAACACAATGTGCTACCACAGGTTAACTCTTCTCACATCTATATATACACTCATATATATATATATATATATATATATATATATATATATATATGCACACATGCGCACACAGACATGGTTTACTAAAGTAGCTGCTAAGTCTAATCTTACATAATTTCTGCTACTAACTCCCCAAAATGAAGCATCTTTTCCTTCAACCTTTACATTTTTGGAGTAGAGTTGATGTTAATTTCCTTCCTAATTAAATTAAATTTGATGTAACTTAAGAAGGAAATTCACGATTAAGAAAAATAAATCTTACACTAGTCAAAGCCTGTCCTAAGTATCACTAACAATGTTTAAGAAATATGGATTGCCACAATACAAATTACTGCTAGAGATAGTGCTGCTCTGTAAGCTTGATTTTACCATTGTACCCACTGGAATTGGAGCTCACTTTGGCCCATAATATCCAAGAAACTAATCCTGCAAATCAGTCACTCTTTGAAAATAGCTTATTACTGTATGAGCCATGCCAAAACTCATTAAATAACTGGAAAGGTTCCCAGAGGCTTCAGCATACTTTGGATTAAAGATCTACTTTTCAGTTAAATATAGCAGGGCAGTTATTGCATGCAAGTACACACAACAACTGCTCAGCACACAACTCCTGCACTCACTGAAATCACCTCACTCATCTGCCAGCACTTGCCTAAATAACAGAGCCACCAACATGTCTGTTTATTGAATGTCCAACTTGCAGTGCTTAGCAGAAATCTGTAATTCTCCTGATATCACTGAAAACTGTTTGTCTTTTTAAGGTGACATTTTTTTGTTAGCAACTGTTCACTGAAGTCATATCTTTGATTTTAAGGATAAAAAATACTTTCCCTTAAAATATACAATTAATTGTTTCAGAAGTAACACCATCATAGCCAATTTAAATGTGCCAAGTACCTACCAGAGAGAAGACATCTCTCAAGAAGGTGGTATGGTTTATAACAAATACATTATCCTTTGACCAAGAGAATTCTGACTCTTTAACCATCTTTCTTGCAAACTAACTTCTATCAGTGCTAAAACTGCAAGCAGACAGATGAATGTCCATCAGAAATGAACCTGTGTCTAAGAGACTCCACTAGAATTTTGTCAACTGGCTAGATGCTGCAGCAAAATCTTCTATAAGGCAACAGCAAGTCAACCACATAGCTTCTAGCATATTATAAAGACACTTGTAAAATACAGTTAATAAGTCAGACAGTTGTTGTTAATTGTTGTTTGTTTCCTCATCTTTTTTTTAAAGAACTCCTTTAAAAATACTAAACATAGCATTTGGGTTCAACCAAAGAGAGATAACAAATCACCTTACCCATAAATGCTACGTATTTATAACAGAATTAAATTTGGGAGGGAAACAAAGATCGATTGTACAAAACTGTTCTTCTCTTCCTATCCCTGCTCCCTTACAGCAATATTTTTTTTTCCTTAAGAAAGCACCGAGTCTGACATGGCTATGGAGTTTTTCCCTCATTTCCCTGGATCCTGCTCTGAACCACAAGCCCCACAGCGACCTCTAGATAACAGCCCCAGCAGAAAAGGATACTGTGCTAGAAAAGGGTAAAGACGTCCCAGGACTAACTCTCCTCTGCCAGAAGCAAGGGGACTGCTGCTGTCAACCAGGAACAGCAGAGAAAACACTAGCAGAGTGGTGTTTCTGACTTTGGTGCTGTTTCCTTAGTTCACAGAAAGTAAGTGTGATTATTCCACCTCTTTATATGCACTGTACAAGATTCTGTTTCCACTGACTTGTTCTGCCAAGCAGCAATTGGAAGATGATGCACCAAGCACGATGAACTGGAGCCAACAGCCCAGTTCCATTGACATTACTGAGACAACACAGAGGGGCCTCTGCCTGTACCCTCTGGATTCCTGTTTATCCCACTAAGACCCAGCTTACCAACCCTTAGCACACTTAGCGGTAGCTGGCAGATTGGGACTGCCACACCCATTCTCTTATACCCTCATCCTGAAGGGCTGCGAGGGGAAGGCTGCTCTGTGTGTGTGAGGAAAAGTTTGACTTCAAATGAGGAGAAATACGGCTTTAAATTAGCTTCCAACCAGATGGAGTACGAAAGTGAGAAACCAGGTGTTCAAGATAGGTCTTCTAAATGTTTGATTCAGTTTCCCAGGAGAGAGAGGTGTATTTGGTTAGGTGATTTCTACTACCTCTGTTTAATTTCCCACATCACTCCCCAGTGCACTTCCAACGAGAAGTTTTTCTTTGCTTCTTCCAGGGCCAGTAGAGTGTTTAATCACATCCCAACTCAGAGGCCCTGAAAAGAACTGATGTGTACCACTTTTGTTTGACTCGGGGGGAAAAAAAAGCTTTGGTGCCTCTGAGGGGTTAAGTTTTAATCTTGAAATTGTAGTGAAAATGGAAAATAATACTGAACAGAAACAATTGAGGCAGTTGAAAGATCATCATTCAAAAAGCTTAGGAAAAGGGAGTCTGTAATTATGCCTTGAAATTCTTGATCTCCCATGGATGAGGTAATTGCTGGAGAAAAAACAGCCTCCAGTGACATGCCTCAGAAGCCACAGCTTTCCAACACCGCAGGGGCATCCTATGGGAATCCCCAGACCCAGTGCAATCAGCTATTTTATCATACTTTCCAGCAGGAGCAAGCATGTACACATACATGTGTATGGGGAGGGAAACACTTTAGTGCAGACAAGGTGATAAGCTTTCCTGTACAATCTGATTCATGCTTGATAGCTGAACACTAAAGCACGTTATGAACCCTCTTTCATCAATACATTTACAGTTCAAGCTCCTAAAAGATCAGATATTTAATATGCCAAAATAAATATGCATAAGCCAATTTGCATTTTAATCACTTTCCTGCCAAAATACAAGCAGCTTAAATTTTACTCTTAGCACTTTTTTAATCCAGAAGGAGTCTTTATTTTAAAATCTTAGCTTGTTTTGTTTCCAATGATCATTGCAAAAGTTGCGTTCATAATATCAAGGCTAGAGCCAGGTGAATGATATGAGATTAGAAAAAAACGTCCAAGCTTAATACCTGACGTTAATGGATGTGACTTCCTTGTTCCTAGATCAACATGGGTGTCTTGCTAAGTCTGGCTCGGAGCTGCAAATGTCTTATGCAAATGTCTTATTAGAGAACTGCCAGCCCTGGGACAAGACTGCCAGGTTCTAGCCCTGGCAGCGCTTCTATAAAGGTCCTCGAGGAAGACCGCTGTGTTGGGGATCCCAAATTGGTGTTTGCTTGCACAGTGATCACACACACACACACACAGCAGTCACCTGTTGTGACTGCAGAGGACAACCTACAGCTGTATTTTGAAATGGAAACTCATAATAGGGAAATATCTGGGCCGATCAAAATGTAATCACTACATGAATAAATACAGCACCATTAGCAACTGGGCCAAGTACAACTCTGTTTATCAAAGCCTGCTTTTGAAAGAGCTGGGTGATTTTCAGAACTATTGTCTTTTCTTTTAAGATGCGAGTCAGAGATTAAAATCCCTGTTACTATAAACAGCCAGCACCTTCACCTTCAGTCAGGAGTGGGGAGGCTGAGTGTTAATGCTACCACTCAGTGTTCAATACAAGTTCTCAGAGGACTCACTCTGAGGATGCAACCTCTCTAATGCTGCTGGAAACGCAGTGGGCAATTGTGCATGAAGAGGTCTTTGTATCTGAAAGATTCATAGCTCTACTTAAACACTGGACATTTTGTGTTCACCATGAAAACAGTATCAGGAGTTTGCCGAGCTCAGTGTTTGCTGTTTATTAACTCTACATCTCCAAGAGTACTGCATTACCCCCACTCATTTTACACAGCCTATTTCCCTTGTTGTTTGCTTTCCAGGGGGCCAACTTCTTCTTATAATTACCGGCAGTTTTTCATTTCTCCCACACTAGTCCGTGCTGTTGAAGCACTCTGACAGCCTTTATACAACCTTATCTGTAAGAAACTAGTTAAGGTGTTCTGATGTCCTGGTTTATAGGTCCACTTAAGAGTCACATTCCTGAATAAAAACCCCATGCCTGAGGGTACTTGACCATTAAAAAAAAAAGTAAAAAAAAAAAAAAAAAAGCCTCAGTCCTCAAAAATATTTGAGGGACAAATTCATTCCAATTTGCAAAGATGGTCTGTGTAACAATATAAAAAATAATGGTACCAACACAAGGGAAGGCACAGTCTAACTCACAGAATATGGATTACTGGAGATGCTTATAGTGCAGAAAGAAAGTTGACAATTTAGAGAAAGAAAATACTCAGCTTGTGTCTTACACCTGGCTTTGCAAATAGGAAAAAAATCTTTTACTGTTTCTCAAGATAGGCACCTACCAACAAGCTCTCTTATTTGTCAAAATGGAGAGAAGTGGAACAGTGCCTAATGATGGATGGTACTTATAAAGGGATGCCATCTGCATGGCTTTTCCTCACCTTTGCCTCCTCATTGACATCCCAAGTAAAGGACACAGCGTTGAATGCAATTTCTTCAATATTCCCAATGGTATTAAAACTCTCCTTGTAGTCAGCTGTAAGGAAAAAACAAGAGTTATGAAAACATTTGAACTGTTTTACAACTCATAGTGCTTCTTTGCCTCTTAAGCTGGGTTGTCTAGTGCATCAAAACCATCTCCTGTATTTTTTAAGATTAATTATGAATAATCTTAATTGCAAAGAGGCAATGTCATGCAACCCGATTCTTATACATAGTATATCATTAGCCAATGTTCTTGTAAAATATTGTTTGCTCTCAAAAAGGAGTGCGACTCTACTGGCAATGGTGTATTCATTAGCTTGACCAAGGAATGACCAAAACTGGAAAATTAACTGAAAACTACTGAAGCATTGAAATGGACTGTTCAAACCTTAATATTAAGAAAGCACATGGTAAATCCTAAAGAAGCTTTCTAAAAGTCTAAGAGCTATGACTGGAGGAAATCATCAGTGTGCATTCCAACTTTCCCAGGAATTATTGCACTGGATGCTGGATTAATATTTATATATTAAAAACAAAATTAAAATCCCCACAAAAATCCAAACCATCACAAATCTCCCACAAAGAACCAAAACCACAGAGATCTTTTTTCCAAAGTATGTGCACTAATAAAACAGCAAACGAAGAAAAAAAATATTTTTAATTTGTCCGACTACAAAATCTGCACCTTCTACTCACTTCTTCCCCACGTGCTGTTATTATTATAATCAATAAAGTAGCATTTTGGAAGGAAGGAAAAGCAAAAGGGAGGAAGATTTCAAAGTTGACTAACCCTCCCTCAAAATAGTAAGGCTGGAAAACTATGTAAAACAGACAATTGCCAAGTCTTCTTTATCATTGAAAAGAGAAACAAGCACTGCTTTTCTCTTACTTTGCTGGACAGTTTAACACCTTTTATTCTTTTTGATGACAGATTAAGAAAGATACCAGGTAATAGCAACTTGATTAAAGGAACTTCCAGATCGTTCACAGTAATGGAATAAAACTCTCTCTGGGACGAAGATTTCCTAAGAATTCCTCGAGGGTTGTAATTGGACTCAGTGCCATAGGGCCGAGATTACACTCCTGATCTAAAGTTTACCCAAATCTGTGCTTCAGAAGCATGCTGATTCTTAGCTTTGTAATCAGTTATAGAAAGAGGATGTTTTTGTATTCTGTAAGACACACAAATGGTTCCAATATTCATTCCCTTTGCCTAAACTGTTGGTCTCTAAAATATAATTTCTAGTTAATAACTGCTTTAAAATAATTTATAACAAAAACATTGCTACAATAAGAATTATTTCATGTTTGGCAATCAGTATACTTTTATCTCATTTGAAACACAAGAATGCTGGCAAATAAAACTGTGTTCCTGGGACACATGAATGATTTTGGATACAGTAAAAAAAAATCAGTTTAGACCATAGGAACAGCGTGAGATATTTGGTGATGTAGCAAATTAACAAAGTGCTTGAGAGGGCAGGCAGGCTTTTCATTCCCACCTTGAACTCAGATCTTTTTAACTGAAGTAATTGGCTTCACTATCTAAATTCAGTGTGGGGATGCAAATGAGAGGAATTAGGAGATACATAAGTAGTTTAATATGCATGTGCACACATCCACCCACCTCTTAAATTTATGATTCACCAGAAAGTGCCTAGTGCAACTGACTGCTGCATATGGGCGTGCTGTGTAGGTGCACTTAGGAAAGAGATGAACAAGATGTCTCGTAAAGAAACCTGTTTTCTTATCTTAAAAGGCTGTCAGAACCTCACCAATCCTTCCCTTCTCTCAACACATGCCTCTCCTTTAATTGCTGTACACAATCTCATGGGGTGTCTATGTGACACCGTGTTAAAAAGCAGAAGTGCATCCTACTCCCCTCAATTTACAGGCAATTAAAGAAGAATGCTCAGTTGATTTAGAAGCCATTTACACCTCAGAATATTTGAAAGCTGTTACAGTGACTACAACTTTTCCTCTTCTCCTGCTGTGAGTTACCAGAAGGAGAAAATCAGAGTTGTTCAATATGCAAAAATTGGCTGCACAGGAATTATTTCCTCTTTTGTTACTTTGCATATTAAACAATGGCAAATTTTTAATGTTAAACACTAATCATGCATTACTTGTCATTGCATACATTTGTACTTTGCACATAAATAATACAAACTATCCTGAAAAAAAACAAGGGCAAGTTTCTATGGAGCACAGAGCTTCCACACCCACTCTTCATATTTGAACCTGTTCTAATATGTCAAATTATTGTACTTATTCTAAGTAATCAATATCTACTGCAATTGAGTATTGTATTCTTTATTTTAAAATATTTGAAACAAAAAATTTAGTGATCTAGTGTCACAGCACTGGGAAAATAAAGCTGTTTTCCCCCTGCCCCCTTATTCCTTCTACAAAAGTAAACATGCACCTTACTCCTTCTTCAGAAAAATCCATTACAGTACATAGGCTAAGTTTTGGAAAATACCATACCTTCTTGCTTAATAAGTGTCAAGCCCTCAAGTTTATTCCTCAAGAACTAAGGACTTGAATACAAGTACATGCTTGTTTTTATTTATATCAACACATCTTCAAACCTGTCACTGCACCTAACCCACTGAAGCAACCTTCCTCCCAGGAGGTGCACCAGCCAGTACACAAAACAAATTAAAGCAGTGACCCCTGTGTGTCTGGAGTGAAGGAGCAAGCCATTATTTCCTCCAATGTCCAGAATGTAACTGCAGGCCAGAAAGCAGACAGACAGATCCCTGCCACAATGGAAAGCAGCACAAGCATAGTGCCCCTGTCTCTCTGAGATCTGAACAGCTGGAACTGAAGCATCCCAAATTAATTTGATCCTCTGCCTGCTAAGGACCACATCATGCTCTAGATTAAAAGTGAATTTATAAACAATTAGAAATGATTCACAGATGTTAAACATACTACAAACATAAAATTAAAATAAGAGTAACATCTATGGAACAGGTGATGCAGAGTTTTGAACACTTAATTTTCTTTGTTTACTACACAGGGCCTGGACATTAACTCCAAGTATTTACAGGACTCCTTCAGGGATCTGAAATTTTAAAGGGAAATCTTCTTAGAGTAATTCAAAATAATTTTGCATGGAAGGGACCCCTGGAGGTTATCTGGTTCAAGCAAGGCCAACTTCAAATTTATATTAAGTTGCTCAGTTAGATCATTTGATGATAAAACGAGAAGATTTTGTTAAATGCAGCTTGATACTTGGGAGCCATTCTGGCCTAATAAGCCAGTCAGCCATGCCAAAGAAAATGAAATGTACTTCAGAAATACCATCCTTGTAAGAGGTAAGGCTGTATCTCAGTTGTTCTCAAGAAAACACTACTGTGCAACATTTAGGTCTTTTTTTTTTTTCTGAAAACTGGGGTGAACCATGCTCTTACAGCTCTTACATCTGAAAGGCTGTATCAGTAAGTCTTACTACACTGTGCTTTGCTCATGTTTGCAGTGCAAATAAAGAATATGCACCTCAGTATTCAAAAGTGCCTCAAAAGTCAGCACAGAGCTATTTCACCTCAAACTAATGGAAAATTAAAAGACATTCACTTTAACACAGGTAAACACACAGCTCATGCACAGCACTTAATTTTGCAGAGCAATATTTTTCAGAATATGTACCGTAAGTTAACTTGTTGGGCTAAGGCAACCGAAATGTGCCAGGACACCACAAGTGCAGTGGAGTTAGAGGGTGCTGGCACTACAGTGGAGCGAGCTGCTCAGCACATACTTTTCAAAGGTATGAGCACTACTACCACAAGCTTGTAGGGACTAGCACAAAAAAAAAGCAGCCTTCAAAAGAGCTGTGAGGTGGCCTGTTTCTTCTTTTAATGTGTCACAATAAAAGTAATTTGTTCTGGGGTGGCAGTTTTACTGAGCTAGGTACCCCAACGGGCAAGAGGAGAAAATGGGGGAAAGGGGGAAAAGAATGAAGTTAATAAAACTGTTCAGCCAGAATAATGATAAGACAAGAAGCAGAGAGGACATTCTGGAAGAGCTGTTTGGACAAAATACAATCCACCCTAAATAACGCCAGGCCTCAGTGGAAACTGCAGCATTTGAAAATCTACAGGCAGCAGAGTGATTAGTACCAGTTGGGGACAGATTCCCTGATCACCCAGTTCAATTGCCCCCTGAAGTGTCCAAATGGTCTCTACAAGTAACCCTGCTTTGGTTTAGCCCCCCTCTCTGCCCCCTCTCATTCCTGCCATTCAATGGTTTGGTTCCCTCAGGCGGTCAAAACAAGATAGACTTTGCCTGCTTTGGTCTTGCCGACTCCTTTGACTGGAATCCGAGCAGATGGGTGCATGTGTAAACTGCACGTGGGAGGGGAGAAACGCTTGATGTCTAGACACTGCCACTGACTTCAACTTCAGGCTCCTTGGCGGCAAGTACGTGTTCTTCCCCTGCTAACATGCAGATAGGACAGCTGGGGCTGACGTGGGCTTGTAAATACTTTAGATGGGATGAAAGGTAATCAGGTCTCTCAGGATAGCATACCAGCGTTTGCTTCTCCCTCACTGCTGACTCAAACTCTAGGGGTGTAGGAATCCTGCACCACACTCCTTTGCAGTCACCACAATGATGACATCTGCACTCTCAGGCTGCAATTCCACATCAATTAGCTAACATAACTGTTGCTGGATCAAAGACTGGATCACCCTTTGAAAAAATAAATGGAACAGATACTCTGCCACACCTGAGGAGGTGCAGACCTTGATTTCCCAGCTGCAGAAGGAGATACACCACTAAATACACATGCAAGGGGCAGCCGTTCTGTGTAAATACTGACAACTATTCCTTCTGCATGGTCCCTATCCAGCTCCATAGACCCCACAGTCCTAGCAGGAATGAGCCATTCCTAAAAACTCTGGTACAAGCCAAGAAGCCATTGCCAATATATTCCACCATAGTCCTGTGCAAGGCACCAGAGCTTTCTATATCTGAAAGCTTCCCTGAAACATCTGGAGATGTTCTTAGACTTACCAATGTCAAGGACTCTCTGTTTAGCTGTGTGCTGCCGGGAATGCCAGTACTTCCAATATTTCAGCTGTTCATCTCTGTTTTTATCCTCGCTGAAAACAACCATGACCACACTCTATGGAAAACAACACCATTAGTTAAATAATTAATAGTCAGGAACACAAAAATTAAAATCTCCATATGCCTCTAATTCTGATCCAGCCACCACCCCTCTCCCAGTACTTTGGTTGTACAAGATTGAGTTTTATCAGTCCAATACTACAGTGTACTTAAAGACTCAGGACAGAAGAAATGCAGTTGTAAAATAATGCAAGGCCCAGGATTATGTTCTTGATAGTCCAAATAAAAAGTAATAATATTCTTAGTTTTAAAAAGTCAGCTTCACTGACTAAAGGCAAGACATTTTCAATTTAGTATACACAAATACCCTTTTTGGGAGCAGGACTCTTGCATTTATGTGCTTAATGGCAAATTCAGTATAACTATTTACTTTGAATTTGCTTTGTTAAATTGTGATTCAAAGGAAACAGATTGAATTTTTATGCAAAAATTTACACAAGCAATTTTTGAAAAAGCCCTGCTGTAGGCAAGCAAAGCAACATAAGACAATGAAGGAATGATCATACCAATCAAAATTAAGTGAAAATAAACCACAGAGGAAAAAACCTTCACTTTTAAATGTCCTGCTTTATTTTCACCCTGAGACACTAAGCCCAAAAAAACCACTATCAAGCTGCTTTATAAGCCAAGGAGGTAGATTACAATTGATTCATCATCTGTTTCCCTCCACAAGCCACCACCACAACCTTTCATGCACTCTGTGACCTTCTGCAGTCCACCTATAAAAAGCTGAACACCATCACCACATCTTCCATGTCTATCTAGCCTCTCCATGGGCACGAGGCATATTGGGTAGGCACCAGGTGTGTGTGGCTGGCCAGCTGATGCACTAACCAGAACTGGCCGAGCAAACTAGCTTTTCCACCAAGGACAGCACTAATGTTTTTATTAACCACTTACAGGGAACTTGTAGAGGTTTAATACCTTCAAAACCTCTTGCCCCTCTGTTAGCTTTGGATGGAATTGGCAATAAATTCAACAGTCACTTGAATACAGCCCTGGCAAACAGAACATGATTGTGAAAGTTGCACACGGTTTCACAATCTTCTGTCAATTACATCCTACAGAAGGATGCAATCTCACCTCTCCTTTATAATTTCCACTCTCTGCTTCCACAGCTTCAAAATTCATGTGGCAGTGCATTGAACCAAGCATATGAGGACTGGTTTTCAGTCAGACTAGTGACCTCCTGACTCCTGTTCCAGCTCTACAAGTGCTAGAGCTGGAACCACAAAATGGGAAGGAACGGGTGGCAAGGAAAGAGATTGCTCAGAGCAACAGAGAAGTCTTACATCAGATTTAGCTAACAGCTTCATGTCCTAAGGAAACCAGGCTAAAAATTAACTGCTCATTCAGGTTTCCAAATCATTGCCTCTGTTTAGGAAGAGTCTCTCTAAACTTGTATGATAGAAACATATAGGTTGTTGTCTGCTTCACTGCTCACATTGACTTTCATTGGTCCCTTTGACTAAAGTCACAACATTTTTAGAGAGTTTCATGTATTTGGATGGAAACATTTTTCGGCCTCATACATATGCAGCTCTGCCAGCTTCAGGGCAAAATTTACAGGACTCATTGTTCATTCCAAGGTTACTGGGTTGGGATTTTTCAACTCAAAAACATCACCAAGGAAATCAGGACACCCATTCACCAGGCAGATGTTGCTGAATACACAAGCTACAGTTCTAGGCATAGAATCTAAGATGCAAATAATTCATTTTGTTACACTTCTGGGTGAATGTCAAGTGAAAGCTCATTCTTATACAATGAAAATTATTTTAAATTTATGTCACAAAGGATGGATTCAACTCCTCGCGTTTTCTCTGAAATGCACTGGAAAAGCTGATGAAGTGCACCAGTGAGTAAAGATGGACTCCCTAGTACATGTGGCAGATCTTGGACTTCTTTGCTTTATTCACAGCAATAAGTTCACCAGTGTTAAGTGTATCTGTGGAACCACCAAACTGCCAAATCATAAACTGAGGCTATATCATTAACTCGCAAGATCACACTCTGAAAAAACTGGACTGCAAAGCATTTGTTACCACCTTTAATAAGGTGCTCTCCCACCTTTACATTAAGCATGAGAATAAGCTTGCTCTGTCCTTCCCCCAAGAAAAAAAAATAAGATTAAAAGCCAATCAACCACAACCATATCTGTCTGCAGCGCTCCATTCCCACCTAAGAAAGAAATGGGACTGTACCCTGACTTTGCTGATGGGATGCCGGAAGCATTTGTTGTCACCCGTCTCACTCAGGGTGATGGCGTAGAACTGTCCTTTGTTCAAGTAGGTCATGGGTCCTTCCCCTTGCTTTTGACGCAGAGACTTGGTAGCTTCTAATGTATACTGAAAAGTGCTGCTGAAAAGACAAGGAGAGAAACACCCACAAAATCCATGTCACTTTCCCCTCTTCTCTTTTATCATGTAATTATTGCATTGAATAAGGTATAAGAAGCTAATAACAAAATTCCAGGAAACATGGCAATTTAAAATTGCAATTTTCTTTTTTGACTTCATCAGATCCCACAATCAAGCGTAAAATTATCTGGACTGTAAGTTTCTCAGATCAAAGGCTAGATCTGTAGTATCTCTGAAAGGAACCATTATGAATTATGAGACTGTGTACCTCACAATGACAGTGCCAATTACCAAGAGGGGATTCAGCATGATTTGCAGGAAATCATCGACTCCACAGACATTTAAACTTAGAAGTGTTGCAGAAAGAGAAATAAATAAATAGGTTTCTTTTAAATCCCAACTAGAATAAAACATGCTGCAAAAGATGGATGCAGAGAATGGAAAGTCCAACTGCTACTTTCAGCACAGTTCCAAGATGGAATACAAAGAGAAGTTCAATTGTTTATAGAGAACACACAAATCAAGGTTTTTATAAACTTTCTTTTCAAAATTAGTCAGACTGAATGAAGTGCCTACATTTAGCTTTATCTTCAATCAAGTAACTTCCCTTTAGAAAAATATCAGGGAAAAACGGCTCTTGTGTTGAAATTTTAGATCTTAAAAAGATCCTCTTTCACAGAAGAACTTTCCAACTTCAAAGCACTTCTCAAACCATGAAAAGTTTAGGCTCCATTAACTAGTGAACTGGTAGCTGGAAACACTTCTCACTGAGCCTCCAGCCACCACCTCCAATAACGGCCTTGAACAATAATCCAATAAAAATGATGCCTGCAGCTCCTCACAGTCTCTTAAAAAAAACCAAAACCCTCAAACTGCACAGGAACCTTAATGCAAAGTCCTCATGAACTGGAGATATAGTGGAAGCATTTTCACAAAGGTTCTTATTCAGCAAAGTGTTTAAGCAGTGCCAGAGCAGAACCAAAAGGAGGAATATGTTGGTCCAAAATAACAGTGTATCCTTAACTTTCTAATTCAAGCAAATACTCTAGATCATCATAGTACTGCCACAGCAATATAGAAATAAAGGGACTGCAAAAGATATTTTAACTATTCAATGGAAAAAAAAAAAAAAAAAAACAGAACAAAACACATAACTAATAATTACATTTAAATCCCCACTTGAAGAGAAGGTAGGAAAAAAATGTAACAGATCCAGTCTTCCATCCAAAAGGAGTTTCAGACAGCTTAGTATCATTTTTTCAGTTTAGTTGCAAACATTCAATCAAATGAAGAGAACTTGTAAGTCCTTCTTGGCTTATAAGTTGAAATCCAGTCATTTTTCTAGTTGGTTAAAAGTTACAAATAATAGCAAAACTAAGGTAATAAGCAAACACATCTATACCTATCAACCCACCGATGGCAGCGCTGGTGCTTCCACACAAAGCAGCTGCTGCCACCATGAAGGCTCTTGCATGCAGCAGGAGGACAGCACAAGGGCACCGCCGTCCCCTCCGCTGTGGCGTGTGCTGCACAGTCCCTGTCCTGTGTGCAAGGGGAACAGAGGCACTGGCAAGTGTGGACCCATCTGAGTGGATTAGAGCTATACCACCAGGGCTGCAGAACCAGCATCCATCCTGCTGCAACACTTGTCCTACAGATGGACCACCACAGAGGTAAGGGCACAGCCTTGATTTAGCATCACACATAGGGACTACAGATAGTGTGCCCAAGACCACTTATGACACACATTCAAGACCACTTATGCTCAAGACCACTTATGACACTGAGTGCCCCGGGAGATCTGCCTGAAAACCTCACACCAGACAGAAGAACTAACAAGGATGTGTGCTCAGAAGGGCTTAGAATGATCAGACACACACAATATCTTAACAGAACTGCTACAGTCTGCCACAGGCTGGTCTTCCGTTCCCTAGCATTCTGTATGTTTCAGTCAAAAAAAGTAAATCCCAAACACATTCCACTTGGCCAGTTTTGGAGCCTCTGTGTAGCAGCATTTGAGAGTTTTCTTCTTGTTTCCAGTTGGCAAGCAAAGCATGCCCTATAGCAGAAGGATTACTCTCACTCTTAAAAACCTACTGCAGTCACTCAATTATTACAATACTGTTATGAACTTCACCATGAGTCTCAACTAAACCCCTGTGTAGTCACTAAGATCTTCTAGCAAGCTTCCAATTACTTGCATATTCACCACTTCTTTTTTCAATCTGAAATTCTCATTTCTGAGCCTTCCACTTCCAGGTAGACCAAATACATCCTTCCTGGGAGTTTTCTTAATGTGCATTCAGAGGTTTAATTCTTAATGTAACCTGGGACGTAGCATGAAAGACTTAAGAGTGTGGGAATTTTTAACAATACCAATGCTTCAGGATTCACTGTTACAAATGTTCAGTGTAGTAAGTGAGCAGCCTTTGCTAAATATAATTTTCATATCTTCTGCCTATACAATGACTCAGTTCTGAGCTCACTGCAGTTAATGATTGTTTAACATTCTTCAGAAAAAATATCAAGTTGTAAGGAACCTTCACCATAGTCCCAGTCATATGCCTAATCCACAAAAACTACGTAGTCATATTCCTGATTCTAAAGTGAGAGTAATCTCTCAGATATAAATAGACCCATTCACAAGTATGAAATAAAGCATCAGTTTAAAATCTTTAGTGATTACAATCTTTCCTAGATAAAGGGACTCTGTAGTGTTTGCCCACGTTACATACACATTCTTCTGTGCTTAGACAGAACAGTATTCTTTTCAAACTTTAATTTTTGAAGCTTTTTCTTGAAGCTTTTCAACTGTCCTGGACATTTTACTTGTGCATGTTGCCATCCTGAAAAGATTTTTCATTACCTGATTGTCAAAGCTATGCTCTTTTACCTGGGGAACCTCTCAAAAGTTTTCATCTTGCGTATCTTGGGCAGGAGACTTCAGAGGAATTACAAGTTTAAAGCAATGCTGAGGGAAGGCAATAGATGAAGATATAAACTGGCCAGATCTGAGAGCTAGCATGAGCAGGAGAATTAGAGGAGACATGCTTGGCAGCATCAAGGGAGGACTGCAGGTACCCCAGGGTGAAGAAAGGAAGGGTGGGAAGTGGACACAGGCAGGTAGTGCTCAATACATTCCTGTCTGATGCCAGCCAACACATTGCAAAGCTTATGCCATACCTTGTTTGTTCATAAATATATTCTTCAGCCCCCACTGACACACTCCGATACTTCTGAAAAATAAGAGCAATTAAATGCTGTTTTATAAAATCAAAATGCAAATACCAACAAAAATGCAACTAGGTTTAAAGATAACTCGGAGGAAACCATCAACCATTTAAAACTCCAAATACCTAAAAACTGCCGTGGATATTAATAAGCTAGTCACATTTTATACAAAGGTTAGAGGTAGACATTGTAAAAAACATACAATTTACTTACCTAGCCTCAAAGAATTTGTTTCTACTATAAAGAGCTAACAAACTAAGCACAGCTAAACAAGAAAATTAAAGAGATTAGAACAGTATATTTATAATTGTTAAAATTGTAACGAAGAACACATCAAGCAATTGACCAAAGTGTCCACTACCATAGGGATCTATAAACTCAGCACTCCTTCAGTACAACACAACTATAACCCCATAAATCTTTTAAACCCATTCCTAAATATGTATTTATAATGTGTTTGACAATTAAGTAAGTATTAGAACAAATCCAAACCCAGTCATTCTCACCAGTACTTAGGGAATACTTTGCAAGCACTTATGAAAACTAGTAAGAACAACTGTCTTCCTAGATCTAAACACTAACTTTGCCTAAGTTTCTTTTGGTATGTTTTGACATTTTACATTATGTTTTCCCCACACCTGCTCCATCCAGCTGTGCCTACACAACAGTGGCTGGTGGAGCAGTCAGAACACAGGCTAAGCAACATCCTGGGGTTTGGGCAGTTGAGAAAAACAGAGGCAGACCCAGTGCTCAGTGAGGCTGCAGCAGGGTGGCAAAGCTCTGACTGCTCCCATGCCACATGCATGAGAACACTTGCAGCTGGAAGGCCACCAACAGTGGCACACATCTCCCCTAACAACTATGGCTGGGGACATAAAATTAATTGTCCAGTGTCCCTTGTAGAATTAATAGGGGATGTGAAGATGAAGAGGAGTGAGTGTACTTAGAAAACCACTCCAGCCAGTTTTGGCACGTGGAGTTGAACAGATTCTCTCTCCACAGACTGTAGAGAAATACTAGATGACAAGTACTGCACCCTGTTATTAACCAGACATTTTAAAAACTTGTAACAATATATAACCATTTTAACAAAATCACCGTAATACAGAATTATATAACACAACATATACACGTTAAGTTCCTATTTATGCCCAAATTTAACAAGCTTGCATGTTTGACAACTCTGCACAGGGCAGATTGACTGTTTGGGAACCTCTCAGCAGCATGTCCCAGAACAAACAAATGGAATGGAGTCACTCTGCCACAGCACCCTAGGGAAAGCCAAGAGCATGGTACCATAAGAGCCATTGACCAGTAGCACAAAAATTGCCCAATTAATATTATTTGATAATGCAGAGCAGTGTCTCTAATCCAAGGTTTGATCCTACTGATTTTACAATGGGAAGCTAGATTTCTTCATTATTTATTCACTTAGTTGACCTACATGTGTTCTGTATCTGAAAACAGACTTCACCTCCAGATATCCTGGATCTGTGTCACTCATGGAGACAATGTACTTTTCCATAATACACACACACAGTAAATTTCTCATACACTAAATCAAGGCAGCTCAGCCTTAATGTAGCTTGCCTTGTACTTTTGTTACGTTTACAATTTTGTAAAGTTGAGGGGAGAAAAACCCTAGGGGAGTTTTACCATTTAATATCTCTAATTATTTGCAGAGGTACTGTCAGCTTTAAATTGTCCTCACCTTTCTACAATTCCAGCTTGTCTGCCTTATTCTGCAGCAGGCAAAAGCAGCCAGAGGGTACTCACCATACTAAAGCTGATGTAAAACTACTTTGACAGTAGCATAACTGTAAAATAGGAGTTCTCCTTGCCTTTTTTCTTCTCATTCCTGTACACATACATGCAGTTGTTCCTTGCCTGTTGAATTCTCGGTTCCCCTCTATTAGTCTAATTCTGCTACTTTTTCTCACTTACTAGTGTTGCAGAATAGAGCTTCATGCAACAAACAGCTTCTGAATAAATTACTTGGGTTTATCCAGCAGCAGAGGCTGTTGCTACTCATTTGCAATTTCAAAAGAACATCTAGAATTTCCCTGTTACAAAGTGGCTATTTCTTACTATTCTGAAGGCAGATCTTGTTAATGGTAAATAAATCTTCTTTCAGAATAACACAATACCCCAAAGACAATACCCCAAAGACAAAAAAAACCCCTGTATTTATTATTCTCAGAATTTTCAATAAACACCTTTAAAATTGTCTTCTGAAACGTCTCATGATGATCCCCTTTAATCAGAGCACAGACTAATGCGAACACAGCAAGGAGTAGAAATTAATTTGTTGAAACAAGCATCACTATTCTTCTAATGGTTCTCCTGGACAGTTCAAATCTCCTTATCTTGTTTACAAGCTCAAATATCCTTATCTTGTTTACAGCTTTTTATTGCATTCTTAGATGCTAATTTGAGGTGGAAAACTTACTTCTGTTCCTCCATCTTTGAAGGTGTCACTGTAGGTACTGTCAGGAGTACTGCGTTGATCATCTTTAAGATAATTTGTGTGGGGAGCAATGTTGGACACTTCGTATGGCTCAAAGATAACACCTCGGTGCTCCTCATTTTCTCCTCTTGCATAGTGTGTTTGTGGGGTCATAAAAACAGGGGTGAATTCCTCTGCTTTAACCACAGTCACTGCTGACCCTGTGATGGGTGTTGAGCTCCCAGACACATTTGTGTTGTATTCCCTTTTGGATGACTCCAAAGGATCTTGGTTCAAGGAAAGGTTAACAGGCACTGTCTTCAGGACTTGCACACGGTTCTCTCCCCCACTTAAGTTATTCTGAGCTTCCGTGGTATTAAGACAATTTCTGTGAGACAAACCAAAAAATTTTATAAAATGTCCTGATAGAGGAAATCTCCTTAAATAGCTTAATGGTCTTAAATGTCAGGGAATAAGATATTTCAATTCTGATAAGCCACTGCCATAAGAAGTAATACATTAAAAAATAGTGGGAAAAAAAAGAAAAAAAAAGAAATTGTGAGGCAAGCAGAGAGGTCCAGACTCTTTAACAAATGGGGAAAGATAATGATTTGATTTGACTTGTTACAATAAATTCTGGGTATCCAGGGTTGCTCTTGCCTTAGCTTATAATTTGGATGCAAAATCAATCCAGCAGTACAACAATCTTTAGACACAAAATAAGAATAAAGAGTAAGGCAGGACATGGATTACTCACGGTAGATATTTTGCACATGAAATAGGCAGAATATCAACAGCAAAATTCATATGGAGATGGCATGCTCTCAGGCCACTACTATTTGCTTAACTCTGGTAGCAATGCTATTCTAAATGATCAAGCCCAGGAATTCCATTGTAGCAGAGTAGATCAGTAACTATAGTTAGTGGCTACGAGGTAACCTCAGCAGCACTCCCACAGCTACCCTCAGTTGCTGTTGAAAGCAATCTGATTGCTTATAGTAGTTATACTGACATAAAATTGTTAACTCATAAAACTTCTAGTAGGCATAAAATTGCTTCATTTTCAACCCAGGAGAAATGCTCTGACACTACCTAGTGCCCAGTTCCTCTCTCTTAGCTTTCCACTGTAGGCCAGTTTCACCAATCACACTTAATTTAGGAACTGAACATCAGGAATTTCTCTGGTTTGGAAAAGAAAAACTGTTCAAAAATATTTCATAGCCTGTTTTGAAGCAGTAAATTTATACTACTACCTATTGAAACAATCACCTTATGAGCAGCTAGTGGAGACCAGATGAGGCTGTCACAAATTAGCTACATTGAAATAAAACTTGCGTAGCTCATCTCTGTCATAATTTTATATGGAGATACCTTCCCATATGTAAAAATGTATTTGTTTCTACAAAAATATACATTTTCTTTTCTGCAGGTCATAATAGTAGGAGGCAGCTTCCTTTGACTGAAGTCACTTTTAGCCTACAGAGAAAAGCTGAAATCTGAGAGGAGCGAGCAAAACATTCTGAGCAAATTATTTTAAGAGCTACTTTATTTGCTGGGCAGATCCTAAATTATGTTAAATAAGCCTATAAATGAGATTACTGAGGCCAAACTACTCACTTTTTGCCCTACAACAACAAAGAAAAACAGACAACTGTCAAGATAATCTGATTTTACTAATCTCTGCAGCAAAACAACACCAAGAAACAAACAAAGAGTGAAACTCCCAGCTACCTCCCAAACTGCATGTTTGAGAATACTATCCATTTTTTCTAATCAATTGAAAGTAAAAAGGAGTAAAAGGTGCTTCCCAAAACAACCTTCATTCTTTTAACTTCTGAAAGAAAACCATAAACCCCTCAGGCTCTCACAGTTCCTTCAGTTCACAACTGATCAACACTTGAAGTAGCTGGGTGTATGATTTTGAATAATACTGTACCTTTTATCTTGGTCTTCTTGATTATCACTCACTTTGTTAACAGACAACAGCCTTTTATCTCTGGGAACCTGAGAACAACACCAGGCATGGGGTCAGGTAAATGCAACTGTCAGGCATTTGCAGCTTCAGACTGCTCTACTGTAACAACTAGAAAAATGGAACTATCAGTGTTGTCTAGCTCAAAGATGCCAGGAGCTTTTTCTTTGGGAGACTGACTGTGAACAGAAAGAAAATTTCCAAAGACAAAAAATAAAGAAATTGTTTTCTTTTCTAGTTCTTGGGCACACCAGTTAGGAGCAAAGCACTTTTCTTTATGTCCTGTCTTTTGAATATCCAAGCTAGGCCAAGCTATCTCAAAATCAAAGATCATATTATTCCAAAAATACACACTTACACTGAAAAAAACAAGATGAAAAGGAAGATACGATGCTTTGATGAGTTGTGCCTTGAGACCATTTTAGCTCAGACAAAAAAGGCTTTTCAATTAAACCATAAGCACTAGGTAAGTCCTCCTGTTAGAGAGAAGCCTGGAGTGCAGGAAGGTTGTGGATCTTTCCCTTTCTTAGTATGGGGACAGGTCAAGGCATGCTGGTATGTCATCAGAAACACTGACTTCTGCTTTGCTCACTGCATCGATAGCTATGAGAGGTATAAAAACCCAGTCAAATCTGGCCCCTTGACAGACTCAGAACTGACACCAAGCAACTTTAAAGATTTGTACTCCCACATACCAGTGTCCTGACACCAGCACAGATATGAAATCACCAAGGGTGAAGTTCCTATGACCATATTTTTCTTTTCTTGCTGAGCCATTAATTTGGGAGCTAAAACTTCTAATCTATCTTTTGCACAAGACATATCCACTCCATTGCAGCAATTAACGCAGGATTAAAAAGCAAGATCAGACCTAAGAATGGGCTAAAGCTGTGCTTTTTACTATTAAATATTTTGAAGAAACATCAGAAAAATATCTGACTTTAGAGGAAAAACAGTATTACAGTGCACTCCAGTAGTGAATGTTAACATCAACAATAACTGCAAGACAGCAGCACAGTCCCAGAGTTCTATCCAGAGCCATTCTTTCTTTTAGGGACATCCCATTTCCCTACTAAGCATCCTTTATTTTTTTTTTTTTGAACTGGGATAAAAGACACAGTTTACATATGTTGATTCCCCTTTTCAGATTATATATTTTTCTCTGAATGAGGGTCTATGTTTAGGCAAATATCACTACAAGAAAAAAACAAACAGTTAAATTTAAATAATTCCTATTGACTGGAAAAAGTAATTAAAAAATATTACCCAGCATGTCAGAATGAATAAACCAGATTAAAAATATAGACAATTCAAGAGTCTGGTGCATTGGAAGTCCTCTGCACTTCCCCATTACAGCACAGAGGTTAAGTTTTAAGTTTGTGTTTGGGAGCATCAACAAGAGTTATCATTTCTTCCCTATTTAAGATAAAAATAGATATGATTGAATGCTGGAAATGGTTTTGAGATGTTAATCCCACCTTATTCCATCTGAACCCAAAGTCTTAGCAACTGCCTGGAACAAAGAGTAGATATGACTTTTAGAACATGATTTTGAGAAGGAAAAGAGCTATTTTCTGGTTTTATTACAAAAATCCATCATATTAATGAATGGCTACATACAAAGGTACTACTAAGACAGAAGCCAATACTCCAGATGCTCATACACATCCTGAATTTTATGAATCTATATTAATTTCACAGACTCTGGCACTGTGGTAACTACGACAAGCAGAGAAAAGGACCTTTTTTCTTTCTCACTGGGAACAGTTTTCTCTACTGACAACAACACACAAAAGCAAGGAATATAATCAGCAAAGCAATTAATATTTAACCATAAGGTTGGTATATGGCATCTTCCCTACAACCCCTTCTCCTGAACACTCAATATCACAGAGATAAAAAAGAGGAGTCCTTTCATTAAAAGCATTTATACTAATAAATACTAAAAGCAAAGGGTTTTAAGTCCCATTCCTGTTACTTCTTCACGAATTACAAGGAGACCTGACATTGCTGTGCTGGCTTTCACAGAAGATCCTGTGTCCAAGGCAGCCATAGCTGACTTCAGGGGTATGGAGACTGTTCATTTCACTGTAACTAATTCATACTCTCGTGCTTGGGAGGCAACACTGATTCTGTTTGCAGAGTACCAAAGGGTCAGCATGGGTTTCAGAATGACATTTTTGCTTTACACAGAGATGCATTCTCTAGGACTCTCCTCTGATTTCAGCAAAAATCTCAAACATAGCTTTACTTAAACATGATGAAATATATATATAAAAAAAAAAAGTTACCAAAATTGTATGTAAAGCCCTGAGTTTAGAACATTACAAACTGAAACTACATTAGTGCTTTTCCTGTAAATTGACTTAGATCTCTTGCTCTGTGTCCAGCAAACTGCCAGTGCAAGGGCTAGCCCTCACTGTATGTTTGTATACAGCCAACTGCAATCATTATACAAACAAAAATAACATGGGAAATTGTCAGATGAGAGATACCCCAGTTATAGAGCAAACTAAACATGTGTGGAATGAACCAGAAAAGCAGACAAACGTACAGATGGACAAGGCCTCCCCTTTTACACTTAAGTATTTCAAGTATCATCCAATGTTCTTGCAAAGGAAGAACACTATGCTCAAAAAGAAAACATGGTATAAAATTTAATATGGGAATTCTGAGATTTTTTTTCTCTCCAGAATTAAATACATCAAAACTGTTTCAGACAGGCTTCCTATAACAGAATGGGTGCATGATGGAAACAGTAGAGTGCAAACAAGATGCAGTGACTTCTTTTCTAGAAAACTGTCTCTTTTGATGCCTCTTAGAGTGGCCCCTGCTAGTGCAGCAGGGAGGGATAATGACAGAATTACCTACTTTATAATAGTCATACAATAGGCCAAGAGCAGCAGCACTGTCCTCATCACCATTTATGCTCATCATAGCCTTGGTAGCTGCTGTTAGGGGATTCTCCAAATACGACTTCCAGGCTTCATCTTCACTGGTGTAGGCTCGTCTGGTGTTGAATGAAGTGTCATTTGGCACTAAGGCCACAAGTCGCTTGTTACTGCATAGACAGGAAGAATAAAATTGTGATCCAGAAGGGATTACTTTATTCACAAGGCATGGTAAAGAACATCAAATGGCTCAACAGTTATATGATTACATCAAGCAAGCATCTCTGTTTTACACTTGGTGACATATATTTATCAGTATTAGCTATCTTCAGTCCTTAAAAAAATCTAAACACATGCAGATCTTGTGATAATAATTCAAGTGTATTTTTACTAATATACAGCTAAAGCTACAAAAATATTTTAGAACTATTTGGAAAAAAATGAAGTGACAATATAAGAACATTTTGCCCCAGTATTCCTGCTATGTGTACACTTGATTAGGGAAAAAATCCAACATTTAACTGACATAAGGAGACATGAATGGAAAACAAGAAAAAGCATCTAATACTAATCTAGAGTTCACCTAAACAGAGTATAGTTCAGTATTTGTTAAGTGGGTACACCTTAAAATTAAGCTATTCTCTGCTTTTAGAATGCAACCTGTCAGCAATTTCAGAGAAGTTTTCTGTAACAGTACATGAGCAATAGGTCCAGTGGATAGAACAGAAGTAAATATATTTGGTCTCCATGCACACTTTATCACTCACTGCATCTAATTATAAACCCATGGTAACATACACAAGACCATTAGTGAGTGGCATTTGCAGCCAAAGCAGTTTCCTCCAGCCTGAAAGTAGTACAAACTGGTCAGTGCCTATGTATACTGCATAAGAAGCTGCTGCAGCACAGCTACAGATGAAATTTCCAGTATAATGGAAATATAAATGAAGATAATAGTACCTGCTTTTGCAAGTTGTTCAATAAACTTATTGATAAAAGAACTGCATAAGAAAAAAAAAAAAGTTGCAGGCCTATTACATAAGATAGTAGGCAAACAGATTAGGCATGGGAAATAGTGGAGTGAGGAGCATGCTGCTTCACGGGTGTTACAAGAGCACTGTCAAGAATTGTGGCTCAACTTAGAATTAACACAATGAAACTTTTAACACATTACACCTTACAAATGCAAAAGTTGCAGAGATGGTAGTATAACTAAATACACCGACTTAACTGGTAAAACTAGTAGTTATTCCTGGTGACCTTCATAAAACACCTTTTACCATCTTCCACATAAAAGCCAGTTTAGTAATCAGCCTCCTCCTTCTTTTCTGCCTTACCTGTGGAGTGCCAGCTCCACAGATCTAACTCAACCAACTGCTGCTACTGCACAGAGAGTGGCATTTAAACTGTGCAAACAAGACTTCTATTTGTTTTCTGAAATAGGATTTGATAAATGCACAATTAAACCCACACAGTAAATGCTCTCAGATGCTGGGAGCATGCCTTGCCTGGGCCCCAAACTTCAGCGACCAGCAGAAGTTTGGGGTATCACCAGAACTCTGCTGTGGTGCCAGTCCAACCTGCGAAGTGCATGCTCCAGTGCTTAAGGAAGAAGAGGGGGATGGTGGAGATTATCATCTCTATGGTACAGAGCACTGTTTACAAGTTCCTTTATTTAATGAAAAACAAAATAATCCACATGGTACACAGAGCACAATTTTATGAGCTCTGTGGGGGAAGAGAGCATTTCATAGCTTCATATCAGAAAATACAACCAATTACAGTACCAGTTCTATTTTTCTTTCATATAAGTAACTGGATTTTTGGAAACTGCCTTTTTTGTTGTTTGTTTTTTTGGTTTCAACAACACTTCTGCCTCCCCTTTGGCTGAAGATTTTTGTCCCTCTTGTTTTCACATATACATTTGTGTTGTTACAGGTTTGCTTCAGCAAGTGTAGCTGAGCATAAATTAGGAACCTAAGGAAACACAGAGGCAACTGCTAGGTCTACCTGCCTCTTCAATACCTTATTGTTAGAAACTCAAATCAGATTTGCAACAGCCCTGCTGTTTGTGCCAGAGGTAGCTGAGGGCCTGTTTCCACTCTGGAGTAGACAATTCTCCCTGGCTCAGAGGCAATGATTCCAAGCAAGGATTCTCCTTTCCTCAACAAAGCTCCCCTTCAGCTAAATCTGAGCTGTTTCACCACATGGGAGGCTGCCCATTGCAACGCACAAAATCCCGCTCACCCTTCTTCCTGTAGCAAACATCCCTTAAATCAATAACTGCCTTTTGTTCTCAGAGCACTCGCAGCCCTGCGACAGTCATAACTGATTTATGAGCACCACAGACAGCAAGATCCCTTTAAAAACACACCTTTTATGACTTGGGCTGTGCTGGTCTGTAAAAATGCTGGAGGGGAGGAGTCAATCTCTGTTGCTCTAATTTAGCCAAGATGATCTTAAAGCAACGACCAGAGTGCAGTCTCTCAGAGATGCATATCTTATTGTCTTGGGGAGAAGCCAAAGCAAAGGGGATAAATGCTCTAGAAACAGCAACTCCATTAACAGCTGGGATGGTTGGAAAGGCACAGGTGCATAGACCTAGAGCCTTCCCAACATCTCTCCAGAGCATGTTTTTTCCTAAAACTAGGGTTTTCACATTTGAAAACAAAATATCTGTCTCCTCTACCTTAAGAGATAGTCTGCAGCATAATCAACTGCCACACTCATTGTGTTTACTCTGCAAACAGACTGAAACAATAGCACGAAGAAAAATAAAAAACTTCCTCATCACCCCTGTCCCTGTAATCAGCTCTGTAGGAGGTTAATGGTCAGAGCTAATAATCATGACTTAACATAGTCAATCATTTCAAAGATTATAGCTAAAGTAGTCAGCCAAAACAATTGGCTCACTTAAAGAAAACTTCTCTATTAAATAAGGCTGTTTGGATGAGAGGGAGAGTTTCTCTGAAGAAATGAGACTTGAGCATGCACACACATTTCCTTCCATTTTAGCACAACTGCTGTACCTCCTTGGATGATTTCAGCTAAATGTGACAGAGAGGTAGCAAAATCCTCCATAACCAGAGGAGATAAATACAGTGCATTTTAATATACACCAAGAAAACCCAACATGCTAAGTGAGGCTCCACACAGATAAGCTCCCCTGTCTTGTCAGTCATACTTCCATGCCAGGGCAACCCCAGGTGTTCCAGCCATGCAACTGATGACAGCTGGCAGCTGCTTGGGAGGAAAGTGACTCTGGTGGTACCTGGACCATGTGGAAGACAAAGGGTGACACCTATGAGCAACAGCAATCCCACTATAGAGCTGCCCTGACCATCCCAGCTGAAAGAAAAGCCAAAATTGGAGCCTGCAATTAGCAGATCCATAGATCTATAAATCTTATCAAAAGCTGAAAATACATCAGTGACCACATCCACGAAGAGCCTCACACTTAAGGAAGAAAGACAGGGCAAGATTGCGAGACTCCCACTCAATCTGACCAGCAACACCAGCAAATACCGCTATAGCCCCAGTCACAGCTAAGAACCTGCTAAAGAGCAGAGAACAAGGGCAACCCCTGCTGTGCCCATTCCTCTAGCGGGCCAGCCCACCACCCCTCTATCTAGGAGTCAGGATGTGTGCTAACCAGAACTCAGCTGTGCGGACACACTTGTACAAGCTGAAAGCACATCCTCATTTTATCATGCAGAAAGAGCTGAAGAATTAGGATACTTTGTATCTAAAAAGTAAATGTTTCCTTTCAAGCTACCGCTTGAGCCTCTCATGAATGCAAAATCTTTCCACTGTATTACGTCAAACAGTAATAAGTGTTCAAGAATAAAAGGTCTTCTCTGGGCAATGGTCTACCTAGGAACCACACTGCTCTAACATGGGAGCATTTATGTCAAAACTAAAACTTCCGATGGCCTTTATTTTCCAAAATCTTTTTATTCTCTCCACTACTTAGTAGAGATTTTCCTGTTCATACCATCCAAAGTGATTTGTGCGTTTTCATAAAACAAATTTTCCAGATTAATAGTAGTTACAGTGATTTTTTTTTAAAACCTTTTTACAATTAAGATTATGGAATTTTATAAAACCGATACAAGTGTAGTATATAAATACAAAGATATCCAAAACTTCGTTTCATTTCAGTTGCCGCAGTGTAAATTGGAGAGGTACATTGTACTTAACATCAATAATGCTAAATGGAAAAGGCTAGCCTTTCAAGCTCTTCTTCGGATTAAAGATAATGAACACACAACAGCCATCCCTTGGGGCTACAAAAATCTTACTACAGGCAAATTCTCACCCAACCTGATGCAATTTGCGAATTAACTCACAATGAATCAGAACTGCCCATTAGCAAGCTCATGAACAGTGGTAAAAGGCTTGGTGATCAGTTTCCTTTTTATTCAGAAACAAGGTGTCCTGCCTGCCAGTCTCTCAAAACCAATTTTAATGCTCAAGAGCTTTCTTTTGAATTTAGAAAGCTCAAGCAGCCCTCAACTTCTCAGCTTTATCTGCCACTGAACATAAAGCAGACTGATGCAGCCACACTGCATCAAGTACATCTGCACCCTGCTGCATCGTATGCTCAGCATTACATCCTGATCCAGTTGGCACTAGGGTGAAAGAAAGCCTCTTCCTACCTGCCCCACATCTTTTGCTTTGCCCAAGAAATTCAACCCTGAAATCCAAAGCAGATTGTTTAAACTGCCAAGGTGGGCAACCAGCCCAGGCATTTCCATTTTTTAACTGTGGGGTGTTGTTTTGTTTGGGTTTTTTTGGGTTTTTTTTTTGTTTTTTTTTTTTTGGGTTCTGGTTTTTTTTTTTTTTTTTTTGCTTTGGTGGTTGGTTGGTTGTTTTTTTTTTTTTTCTTTTTTGACATTGTATTTGTTCTTAAAAAATAAAAGTTACAATCATGATGCTTCATGAATATACCTGCAGATTTCTTCACCCTGTGACAATGCAGGACTTTCCCCTGCCTGCAGAGCTAGGTGCCAGATGGGAACACACAAGCATGTGTGTGAGGCAGGAGAATAGGAGAGGTTCCAATTCCCAGGTTTCAGCCCAGGCCTGAGCCTGCCCATTCTTACACAGATGAGATAAAAGAGCACCAGGCACTTCTGCACACATCCTCTGCAAACTGCTCCTTCAAGAG